GCTACACTGTCAGTCAGTGTGCGGGCTGGAGATTGGTGGAGCAGAGAGGGGAGGGTGTCCCCACTGAGTATGGTAAACGAGTATGTGTGTAAAGTTATGAAGTGTGTCTGTTACGCTAGAAGAGTCAGAGTTTGGGATGGAGTGGAGTGTTACCGGAGTTTCTGGAGTGCTCAAATAAACGGGCCTTTTTCCCGAACACTCCTCTGGTCTCCTGCTCGTGAGGGATTCATTACAATATTGTAACATGGCTTAGATTTCTAAATAAACATTCACCTCGTCGCTAGATAGACCTACTCCTGAAAAAGTCGTGCGCAAGGCTTTTTGTCCCTACGAGGCCACCGTCATTTACCCGATGGGAGGGGTGAGCGAGTGAGCCCTGCAATCTAGAATTTGACCACTGATGTCACTGTTTTCAACGGTTTTCAACCCATTTTACACACTGGGCCTTTAAAAGATTATATCTGAACACATCACGAGATCCTCATAAAATACCTTTGTCAAAGCCTAACTTTAAACATATCATAATGTAACTCAATGCAACCTTTGGTGGCTGTTAGTTCTGGCCACCAGCTGCTAACAGCTAACATTACTACCTCTCCTCCTGCCAATTTCAGAGTAGCGCCGAGATCGAAAAGTGGCTGAAGGTATGTCGATTGCTGCTCAGCGGCATATACCGATCCCCAGACTGGCATACAGATCCCTAGACTGGTATATACCGATCCCCAGACTGGCATAAAGATCCCTAGACTGGCATACAGATTCTCGGAGTGGTATGCTGCTATTATGCTGCTGTTATTCCACCGACACACGACGGTATGTGCCGCTTGAGATTGTTATGCCACTGAGAGACTGTTGGATGGGTACCGCCCCCTGATGAATATGCAAATGTAATGCCACTGGGCTGGTTTGACGACAAGTACTGCCGTAAATGTATACATTTTTTTTTGTCTTTATTGACAATGCTAACTTAACACTTTACCGCAAGTAAAGGAACGTATGTATGTTATGTTGTTGGGATGTACGCATATAGACAGTAATTACACGTGGGACTCTTACGATATAGTAAAGTAATATGTCTAAATGTCCGCCTATAAACTACTTAAAGCTAATGAAAGCGCTAGCCTTAGCTAACATGGCTAATGTTAGCCCAGCCTCCGTACATAATATGCCACAATGCCACAACAGTATTGTTTTGTTGGTTGGCTCAAAGTTTCTGCTATCGATTAGTCAGACTGGCTACAGTGGCTGGGCTAACATTAGCCATGTTAGCTAAGGCTAGCGCTTTCATTAGCTTTAAGTAGTTTATAGGCGGACATTTAGACATATTACTTTACTATCATATCGTAAGAGTCCCACGTGTAATTACTGTCTATATGCATACATCCCAACAACATAACATACATACGTTCCTTTACTTGCGGTAAAGTGTTAAGTTAGCATTGTCAACAAAGACAAAAAAAATGTATACATTTACGGCAGTACTTGTCGTCAAACCAGCCCAGTGGCATTACATTTGCATATTCATCAGGGGGCGGTACCCATCCAACTGTCTCTCAGTGCCATAACAATCTCAAGCGGCACATACCGTCGTGTGTCTGTGGAATAACAGCGGCATAAAAGCAGCATACCACTCCGAGAATCTGTATGCCAGTCTGGGGATCGGTATATACCAGTCTAGGGATCTTTATGCCAGTCTGGGGATCGGTATATACCAGTCTAGGGATCTTTATGCCAGTCTGGGGATCGGTATATGCCGCTGAGCAGCAATCAACATACCTTCAGCCACTTTTCGATCTCGGCGTCACTCCAATTTCAACTCAGATTTGTTGTTTACAATGTAGCATTATGAGGGAAACCACAGGGTGTGTCCCATAGACATATGTGTCCCCCAATGATGCACATAGTGAGTTTTCGACCCAAACACATTTTCTATTGTCCCAAGGACAACGGGACACCATTAGCTTCAAGCCCTGCTTTTTAGCCCGTGCAGACTTGATGTGACACAATTGAAAAACATGGCCCATTGTCTTTTGTGAATGTCATCTTATTTGCCAATAGGACCATGACCGTCACCAAAGCAAATATAAGCTGATAACGATGTGTGAGTGATAAACTGATGCATCCCTGCATGATTCTGAATGTATTTTGCATCTTTATGAAAAAAAGCAAAGAAATTAATTATATTAAACCATTCACTGAGCTGTACAGTGAGATTTACTGGCACGAAAATATCTGCATGTTGTATGTTTTGTAATATACTGATACTGATACAGGGATTTTAAGGTTGATATAAATATTGATACATGTGCAATTAAAAAACTGAATATTGATATACCTCCAGCTATTGATAGGGTTCCATTCTGCGATCAAGACATATTCTGGGTAGGACATTTTACAGTTGAAAAAAAAGGTCACCACTTTGTGGTAGAAAAATAAAGGAGGGTGTTTCAAAACAAATGTTTTGCATTTCTGTACTTTCATTACTTGTCATTTATCAGCGCACATATATGCCATTACCAATATATCTGCAATTAGCAAATATCAGTCGATATATCAGCCTGGTAGATTTACTTTTTATATCTTGTAATGCAATGTCACTTAATATAAAAAAAATCTTAAGTTACTCATTTTAAATGACATTTTTCACGACAGTTGTTAACTATATAAAAGCAGTAACGTTAATTATTTACACAAGCCTTTTAAAAACAACAAATGTTGATCAAAGTGATTTGCAAAAAAAAAAAAAACACAGTTGCTACTAACAATAACTTTTCATAGTCTGATGATTAATATTAGGGACTGTTTGTTATTTTTGAGGGGAAGGGGTGGTGCAAGAAGGGGGAGGCACGTCAAATCATTTTTTAAGCACTGAGGTAGGGACTTATGTTTTTTTTTTTTTCTTCGGCTTAGGGGAAGGGGATACAAATTGAAATGGTTGTTATTTGTATTTGTTTTACAGCACAAGTCCAAAGAAAAGATGCCTTGAATGCCTGTTTTTCTTTAAAAATCACCAAAATCACACAATTTATCATAGCGACAAACTGCAAAAACAGAAATTATCTTTGGATTTTAAAATTCCCAACCTCCTTGGACACATCATGTGCTATGAACTTCCATTAGAAAAAAATAAGTAAAAATTAACCAAATCTGAGGTGAAAATAGTAATATTTAATCAAAATAATTTTATTCTACGTGTCATTGAAAAATTTCCTAAATAAACTGTTTAAATATCCGAGGCTTTTTTCAACTCAAGGATTTCGTCTTCAACAAAACAAACAAAAATAAAAACATAAACAATGTCACCCCCAGCCACCCCTGTTCTGGCAAGCACAGTCCTTCACTTAAATATAATGATAACAATGATACAGTTCTGAATACACATTGGCTCTGTTATGTTTTGTTTTTTTCTCCTCTATTTTAATACTAATGCCAGTATTTTTTGTGTGATATCCACAATGACTAACGTTATGCAAACCAAAGTTGAATGGTAACTTAAGTTGTTAAAGCTTTAATCATTTGCTACTGAAAGACTGGCAGTTAACGGTACTATTTAAACGTTACTGAAAGAGTAAACAGTTGAAGCTTTTAAAACTTCAAACGCCAACAGAGAAACTTACATCGGACAGCGCGGATTCCTCCGGCCGGGTCACCGTGCTCCTGCTCCGCGTCTTTAGTGGATCCTGCAGCGGGGACTCGGAGCTCTTGGCCGGCCTGTGCTGCTGCTTCCGCTTACTGTTCTGATCACCGGCCCCTCTGCCCCTACCGCGGTGCGTCACCATGGTAACCCCGCACACACACAGGCTAAAACGGTTAGCTAGCTTACCGGTTAATTAACGGCAAAAATAAAGACACAAAAAACACCGGAGTGCGGAGATAAACACGTTCAAGTCTCTGAAGGTTGTTCTGCTCAGTTGAACGGGCTGCTGCTCCGTGTGTTGAGGCGCAGCTGAGATACAAACACACCCCAAAAACACACTTGATAAACGGTTAAAGACGGACCACCAACAGACTGAGGTGTTGATTCAAAAACAGAAATTTGCCGCCGCCTAGTGACGTCATGCCGTAATGTACGTGTAAAATAAAAAAACAACATATCATAATATACATATTTATGATAAAATATAAAAGTAGTTCATAAAATAATAAATCAATACACACACACACACACACACACACATATATGTATAAAAAATATTCATATATGATAACATTATATAATATTTTATATGACATTAACGTTATATTTAAATTGCCAGTCATCTAAAAATAAATGATGCCATTTTCTCTATGTGCTTTACTGGCTTTTACACTCCTTAAATTTCCTGTTAACTAAAAGCAGTTATTACAGAATTTATTTTATCATCTATATATATTACTGCTGTTAAAAATCTTGTATGTTGCACAGATCGTATATATTTCTTATTCTCATTCCTGCCCATGTATATATTGTGTTGTACATTGTAGCATTATACACATATTTTTAATCATTGCATTTTACATTTTTTGTTTTTTGTTGTTTTGTTTTTATAAAGTTTATCCAGAAGCTGGAAATTTTTTAAAGATGTTTTTTCAATTATTTAATTAATTTAAACATAATTGAGAGAACACCAAAACTATCACGTGTAGGTAGTCAGACATGAGACCTTGCAATTATTTTACAAATCAGTTAAATAGCTACTGTAGTACTGTAGCCAATCAAACAATTAATTTTACAATGATTTAATTATCATGTGTAGAGTACTTCACTCATGAAGAGAGCATCTTAAGAACCATAGACAGGTTGTTGTGACCACATACTGGCTTTGTCCTATAAAAAACAAACGTACAAAAATATCAATATTATTTAAAAATCTGTGGCATGTGGATTCATCCACAGATTCTGGACTTCAACTCATTTAAACTTTTAGACAGAAGCTACAATATCTGATGTTGTCACTGATGTCTTACAGCCCATGGTGTCTTTGAGCAAATCAATCTTTTCATTACACACACATAACAGATTTCAGACTTTACTGGAGATTTATTTGACTGGCATATTGATCATTTTTAGAAATATTTTATTGTGATTTAAAAAACATATTTTGACAGAAGTGATTTTTTTTACACAGATAATTGTGGGAAAAAAAAAGTTGATTCATCAGATGGATATCAACATTTTCATATTTGTCAACTACACAAGCAACCAAGAACCCAAAAGAGAAAATGTGTAAAATCCATTTGCTGAAGACACACAATACCATAAATAATGTATTTGGAAAGCCACTAGGAGCACACACAGTATAAGAAGTCTGTCTGTATCTTACCGACTAAACTGATCAGTTTAAAGTGAAATTGCTTTTGCAAACATAATTCATTTTTATCTTGGATAACAAGCAGTAAAATTCATTATTAAGAGGTCTAAAATGTCATAACAATAAATCAAGCACACTAACAAGAGGACTGGATTTATTTCTTAGTGACAGGAGCATATTCTATCAGGGCAGATATATGCAATAAACTTGCACATTTAAAGCTTCCAAAATGCATTTTGCAACTTAGCTCTACAAGCTCAATATAACTGTATTTACAACAGCGATTATTAAATGACAACCTACACCATGTTTTAAATTATCCCTGCTAATCATTCAGTGAAATACACTGAGTACTTCTTTTTAAGCCAGGCTAAACCCTTGTGACTGACAATTAATAAAGGGGGACTCTGGTATTTTTCAGCTTGGACCCTATTTTCCTGTGTTTTTGTGTCACACAATGACTCATGGGAACAACTGTTTTTTTTAAAGTGGTCCAGTGTTGAGAGAAAGTGATGCAGCTGATACCTGCCAAACAGGCTACTATGTGACCACCGGGGCAGGTGTGCCCCATTGCAACAAGTGAAAGTGCTTTTTTGTTTGCCACTGACGAGCTCTGATTGTCTTGGTGTCTTAGAATATTACAGAAAGGACCCTACACCTTCCACTTGTTCCGTTGTGTTTTATGTCCAAGTCTCGCTAAAGAGAAGAGAAACTTTACATTTGTCTGTTGGATCATTTCCATAATATTGTAAGACACTCATAAGAACAATCTGTCAGTGGCAAAAAGTCAGTGGTTGTTAACTCGGCGCACCTGCCCTGAGTTGTTACATTGCAGCCTGTTTCACAGCTGCCTGCTGCACGCACTCTCTCATCATTGGACCAGTTTCAGAAATTATTGTACCATTATTGCACACACAATAATATGTCAAAATAGGGTCCAGGTTGAAAAATGCCAGTGTTCCCATTTAATTTTCAGCCTACTTCCATGATACCAGTGTATTTGTAAATTGTAGGTCGTTTATTTTAATCACATTATAAGTATTTCCTCAGTTTTCTCTGAGTGGTAATAGGTGCAGTTGATTGTTGATTATCTGCAGCTAGTCTAAATTCACTGCAGGTTTACTGTCATAACATACTGACATAAAGCAAAGCCAAATGACAACCACTGCAGAAGTTAAATGTTGGTTTTCCTCTGATTAAATTAAGCAAGGTACTGACGTGGTCCTTCAAAACTGCACTTAAACATTTCTTTTAATAATTATTTCTTCTTTCTTTAAAAGTATTTATAATCCAATTAGCCTTTCCATTTCACCCGGTGCTCAGTTGAGAGCACAACTGACGTATTTTTAAGATGACATGAATTATCGTGAGCCTGAAGAGATCAGGGCTAATGTTATGCTGCTAATTATCATCGCTGAGGCTACAAGCCACCACATAGTAGCCTAAACTGCTGGTGTTATTTGGACAGACATGATGTCATTTCAAATATATCTTTCCATCGCATACTGTAGCCCTAAGTGTCCACTTCTTGAAGCTATATTGTCTGACGCCAAGACGCTATCTAAGCGCTGCTCTGTGTATAGATTGCTTTTATTAAAGATGGCTTGAAACTAATCAATTGAGGCAGTGTTTGCTAAGCGTCGTTTGATTGGATGTACATCGGTACGGGGTTTTCTACCCAAAAGTTATTGTAAATAAACACTGATTCAGCTTATTAGACTCAGAAAACACTGCAGAACCTGGCTAAATGGAAACGGCATCGCCATATCTCTTTCTGTTGGGCTCATTGGACCTAGCAATGGTAACTAGGGGAGACAGGACTTAAAATCGGTCATTCAATTCCAAGCTCTTGCCAAGGACTCTTGCAAGCAGTTCAATACTTAAACATTTGTAGATACCAGGATCCACAGAGACCCTTCAAAAATTTCCTCCCTCTTTAAACCACCCCACACCTCCCAGTGTTCCACAAACAGACTGTCCTTATACAGGTTTCACACCTGTTTGTTTTTTTTTTTTACATCTGATCTATAATCTTATTATTTCCATTGAGATTTGAGAACAATATTAATTAAGTATTAACATCTCCACCAATAGCTCCACCAATTTTACTGATAACGCCTAAATTCTTGCCCGCATCTAGTTTTAAATGTCTGGCTTGGAGTAAACCACTGTAATTACATGTGTAGATTTTTCAGAAGTTTCTTCAAGGTGCTTCAGAATTCACATTTGTTAAGTTTCATACAGGTCATACTTTTCTAATCACTTTCCTGAATTTCCAACTGAAAAAAACAACAACAAAAAAACAAGCTCACCTAACTAGCAACACTAGCACTGTATTTCAGATCTTATCCATTCGTTTTCAAAGCTACAAAGTGCTACAACACAACATCACTTTGATACTGTTTGAATTTAACTCATTCAAAGTTCAAACCCAGTTCTCTTACTGCCAGAAAGATTTTCCAGAGACTCTTTTAAGAATATATAAGTACTTTCTATTTGTTGATTTTCAAAGTCCCCGTTTAATTTCCACCCTATTGTAAAGTTCTTTGTTGTATTGGTAAATTTGGTTCCAGAGAGCACAGTGAGCCTCAGTGTACTCTGATGGAAACTTCGTTAACTGCAGTGACTTCAGACTTGCGCCTCCCCGTTCGTCTTAATGAGGAGGGATTGAGAATCAGGGGAGGGGTTTCTGTCACCATCACCTGCAGGGGTGAACAGAAGTGATATTTTAAATGTACAGTAGATACTTAAAATATTGAGACTGGATCCAGCTTTTAATCAGTAGACAAAAATACGTACGACCAACGGCAGAGTCAGAAGAGCCACCAGAGCCACTGCTGTTGAGAGATCCATCTGAGCCTGTGAACAAAAGAAAATGTTTTAGATATGTACCGATATGTGTGTAGGGCCACTTGTAAATCATATCTGTGCATTCTGACTGGCTTTTCACTCATCTGTTCTAGAGCTGGGCGATTTAATGACCATGTACAATTATCTCTATATTTTCTAGCAAGATATAGATTTGCACAACACTGTTTATATCGATATAGGGTCAAGTTACATAGCAACGCTCTAATGAAAAGCCATACCAGTGCGCATCTCTCCCCTCTCACACTCTCCGCCTCACTCAAGTTCACTAGCAGTGTGACATCAGTCCACAGTATATATTGCATATGCTACGCTAAATCAGTCTGTGAGGTGAATGAAATTACCGCAGTAGCACACAGACAGTTTTGTATGTCCTAACAAAGACATTTGCTAACAAGTGACTAAATGAGACTACAGAACGTCATCGCACTGAACATGGCTTTACAGCCTTGCTGTGGTGGCAACGCCGAAGTCTTGCATGGTATGGTGTACGACAGTTTTGATAAGGGTTGCTCGACCGACAACGTAGTTACAACAAAAAAAGTGTCACCTGACATTTTCCATGTCAGGTACCTGGTGATTTTTATGTTACGGACATCGCCATATTTCGTCCAGTAATGTGATTGGTAGCATTGTCGCCACGGACACAAAAGTTTTACATCAACACCAAAACCTGTGTTCGGTGTTTCAGTCCACAGAAGCAGCCGTCAGTCAACAGCAGCCCCTGGGAAGGTGAGAGTACAGTGGCTGGCCCATTATACAGAGCCAGCCAAACTGCCTTTGCCAGGCCCGTTGACAGCAGATATTTATTGAACCAAAAATAGTTTTCATATCAAGTCCAGGGGAGGAGATCCATGGTGTTTCTATTAATCAATTTACTGATTTAGTTTCCCCGCCAACCACGGTGAGTGAGGGAAATCTGCCACTCACACACAGTCTGAGAGTAGCTCAATCAATAAATATGAGGTTAATAGCATAAACACATATATACGGTGGGATATTTGTGTGATTTAAACATATGTCTGTGGAGATTACTTATTACTAAAAGTGACAGAAAAAGACTTGGACTGTAAAAAATAAAAAAGTCTCTAGTAACCATGGAGATGACTGAAACCTTTTGCCAGAGCATAAACTGAAACGTCGCACTGCTCTTAAACTTCTGTCAAGCAACACTCTTAAAAAGTGTAGTGCGCCCAACCGTGACTCAGCCTTTACGTTGGCTTTTTAATTCTGGCGACTGCATTTACATTTCAGAAATCATAAAAGTGATGTTCACTTGTGAAGATTATCTTGCTGAACAAACCTTGTAAGTATCAAACTTTTCTTTACAGAGCTTACTTTCTGCAATAATCTTAATTCCAATGGATACATCACATTGGCTTTTTTGTTGATGGAAAAAAAAAACAGAACAAAGGACGGGCACATCCTTATGTTGAATGGAGTGGGTGCTGGACCAAATATACATCTGGCAAAGTAGAAAACAAATAAGTCTGCACACCAAGCAGCTCCCATTTAGCAAGATTTTAATGCAGAGTGACAATTCAAGCCCACAGCTCTTCCTCTGACTTCAAGTCTGAGAGAGATCCTTTCAAACGGGAACTGCTTGGTGTGCAGACGTATTTGTTTCCTTCTTTTCTGTTAACAGAACCAGACGATAACTTCCTCATTGCTCTACAAAAGAAAAAGAAAAAAACTCATCCCTGCAGCACTCTATACTCATAATATAGGAAGAGTTTAAATCATAGTGTGATTAAATTCATGTATTTTGATGTAATGTAATGTAGCTCAATGCAAAATCATGTATCCGTAAAAACACTTACCCTTGAGAGGTGCATTCGCGGCGTCTGGTTTTGAGACTTAATTGCGCGCACGTGCGCACACACACACACACACACACACACACACACACACACACACACAGAAAACATTAAGGCCTATCTGCTACAATGTGTTTTTGTACATATATTTTCTATAGTCTTTTTATTTGTACATTATTATGTATCTATTTTCAGTCCTATAAAATACCACACATGAAAATAAAATAAAAACTACTGAAAGAAATGGATAATTTTTATGTAATTCTATAATGTGACCATTTACTGTTTCTTTTTTTTGCTAAGTGATCACAACATACTCTTTAACCAGCCAGCTAAGGAGCCTTACAGGACTTTGTTTGCCATTTTTTTTTAAATTACATTTATTTATTTAAAAAACTTCAATTTGGTTTGACTAAACTTTTTGGTTTCCGCCCTCTGATTGTAACAATTTGAGTATTATTGGCACAAAACACAAAAAAATTCTGGGGTAAAATTCATAACTTTAATAGACATCATCGCAGAGAAATAAAGCACTTACCCGTGGAGACAACTACTTTGTCAGGTGGCTGATCTGTTGATAAACACGACAAAGTTAAACGAACACATAAACACAACAAACTATTATATCCATTTTCATATTTTCATGTTCAAGTTAAAGTCTAGGCAAGATTAACTAAAAGGATAATATGATTCTAGCCAGGGTCCTTTGTTGCATGTCCCTCTCAGTGTTGATGATCTTAGTTATTTTAATTTGTTATGGTAATCCTATCTGCAGAGTCCTGCTGTCATCCAATCATAAAGGGTGCAAACAATAATTTGGGACTACCAAAGTGGAAACCTTCTCAGTGCAGGTTTCAATCAGTGGACAAGGATACTTACCAGAGTCACTGGTGGAAACACTGCTGAAAGACTTGCCTGATCCTGTGAAGACAAGAAAAATCAGTTTAGGTAATTTACTTTAATGACATAGCTGCCCAGCAAACACTCAAGTTAGCAAAACCAATACCAATCTGAGCAGTCCTGTGTGTTTGATAATGTAATAACTCTGGATTATCACATAAGACAGTCCCTTCAGGATGTTGTGATTGCAAAAATTAATGCAAACTTAGCCAATCCCCATGAATTCTGTGGAACCTTGCAATTTTGACCAACCACTGCAACTTCACCACAAATTTGACTATTTAGAACAGGTAAAATCTCATTGCATTGTAGAGCCATGTGCAGTGTATTGATCTCTCTGTTTATCAAGAGGCTACTGCTGCAGGACCGGAACTCTGTGACTGGACAGAGTCACACACACTAATTCTGTGGGAAACACTGAATGCGCATGATGATAATAAGCTCCGAATCCAGAGTCAGCATTACAACTATTTTTACAATAGTAAAAGGTTTTTTTTGTTTCCAACAGATTTGGAATCTATGTGTGGTGGTAGCTGACCACGGTGTGTGTATGTGTTTTTATTCACTCAGTTTTATTACTGTGTATCCCCTCTGAATTCAGAAGTTTTTGCATGTCCATGAAGGCAGCACAAGTGGAACTCTTCATGTTTTTTTTCCCCTCAGCAGCAGATTCTGGAGTTTGAGTCACATGGTGGATAATTGATTAGTCAATCTGATCAGAGCTGATGAGATCAGATCGATGGATGAGAGGATCAGCTGCTACAAAGGTGAGTGAAAGAAAACCTGCACTGCACTGCTAAGATTAACTTCATACTCTCAGCTCTGGTTAGCGCAGCCTCACAAACTGACATGTGGGACGTCAGAGCTCAGTCAGCTTCCAGTTCAGTGAATTAAGGACAACAAAGACCTTTAACCCATAATGACTGACAAGACTGCTATTCAGTGTGACCTCTGAACACCTCATAAAGTCCATCATAAAATAATAACAGACCTTTGCACTTGATAACGATTTCACACAACACATTAGGGCTGGGCCGTATGACAAAATTTTCATATTATGGTTTTTTTTTTTGTTGTTGTTGTTTTTTTTTTTAATTATATTGGTTTTATAGTATTTGAAACTATTTTGCTCAGGTTTCAGCCCACTTGACATGCTGCTGTATTGTGCTATGGCCTATTGGAATTTGTTATTTACGTGACAACGCCTGAACACAACACAGGTTCTGCTCCATTACTGCTGTGCTCGGTTATAATTGTCTCGGACTTGGGTCGGCTTCAGTCAGGAAAATGCGGCCCGAGCCGCGCTCCAGTGTGCTTACCTGTGTGTGTGTGTGTGTGCGCACGTGTCTGTGTGCGTGTGTATGCGCGCATTGGGGCGAAACTCCGCCGTGTGCGATACAGAGAGCAGAGAAGAATTGTAAACGCGCTACCATGTAGAGACAGAAATGACAGGCTGTCATGTAAATAAGATAAATAACATAAGGCTATTTAGTTTGTTTAATGAACGGACAAGGTATAGACCTGTTCTATAGGCCTGGATATGAAGCATCCGTAGCGCCAAATATAATGGTAGTTTCTAAAGAGCTAAGACGAAAAAAATAAATAAATTAAAAAAAAAACGAATCAGCAGTGGCGGTGTCCTGCTGCTAGTTGCATATAGAGGAAACACTGCTCTTTTTAGTATGAGTACTTCTGGGTCATCGTGTTCTTCTTCAGCAATGTGTACAGTTGCTTCGTTTTCAGAACTCTCTCCGGCAGCCATTCTCGCCTCTTAACTTTTCTCTATGCTCTCACTCTAGCCGGCTCTAGTGCGTCTGTGGTGTGCAGCAGTGAAATGGGTCCCCGCTGAAACACTTCCCTGTCGTGCACGTTCCGGACGTTGTTTGCGCTATTCACCGGTACTGCAGTATATGAAATATTCATATAACGAAAATAAAGACCGGTATTCGATACCAACCGGTATACCGCCCAGCCCTACAACACATCTTAACTTGTGGCTGAAAAGATTGCAACACCAAGTACTTTTTAATTGGTGTAAATACACTATGATGGATACTGCATTGAGTTTGATATGTCCATATCGGTAAAATGTTGCTATGTAACTGTGTTGTCTTTTACAGAATATAAAACGCAGTTTAAAAAAACATGTATATATTCCACTCTACTTGTATCCTGCTGTTGAAAGAAAACAATAGTTATATAGTGAACCTACCTATCGCGCGTCTTTTATACAAGACAACCAGCACCACACCGACCATGATCACCAACAAGATCAGGGCCCCAATCGCCCCACCAATCATAGCTCCTCCAGAGTCTGCAGGAAGTTTATGATCTAAGACACAGAAAACATTCACATTCGTTTTTATACACTTCACTTTAAACATCATTTCTATTTGATGGGTTTAATGTAAAAATCTTTCTTGTGGCTTAAGACGAATTTAACTCTGGAGATGTCATTTCAATAATCTGAGACATGTCATTGGCAGCAATCTGCAATAAATATGTTAACATTGTAAAAAAAGAATCAAAAGGCAAAGAAGTACCCCAAGCTCTCGAAACATGAACCCCAGATGTGGGATGAATGACTTCACAGGTGTATGTAGACATGTCACTCCTTAAAATCTCCACGCTGTCTCTTCTTTGGAAGGTGTCGTCTTCATTTGGTCGAACACCTGAGGAGAGCACTCCGTCCTCTCTGGTTAGAATACGGTCATTCCTTCTGATCTGCAGGGTGATGTCTTTTGGATAGAAACCTGTGGCCAGGCACGTCAAAATTACGTTTGTCTCAACTCTGGCGTTCTTTGAAAACAAGAACACCTTTGGAGGAGCTGGAAAGAAGAAACCATAAGGTGAGTTCATATTTGCAGGGTTTTAATTTTTAATAATGCCTTTGATGGCATATGACAGCCGGAATTTAACTTAAGTCCAGCAGCACAGTTGCTGCATTTTTAACCATTTCTCTGATACCAGTGCAGACTGGCAGGGTCGGACCACAGGTTGTTAACGTTAGCCTACAGAGTACCGCTACTTGCCTGGTAATGAAGCAGTGTTCTTTTTTAGTTGATGTCTTTTTTGATCAATTGACAACATGAAACTTAAACTGGGAACGAATCGCCAGCATCCCGACAACTGCAAAAGCTGCGTGTAGCCCAGACAAGAGAAATCACTACAGCAGAAAATGGTATACTCATAATGTCCAGCAACACTCATCGCGTCTGCTTACGTAAACACCACTAATGACTACTATTAACAAATCAGGGCTGTAAAGTTCTTAACCACTACCCCTCGTAACTCTGTTACCAAGGTGCAAGACGGCACTTGAAACTGAGAGATGGGGGTAAAGATATGAAATGGGACTGGGCCTTATTGTCATCGCCATGACAGTAGGCCCACCTCTCAATTAATCTGATGACAGAAAAAAATGCCAGCGACATGGGGCACTTTCTCTTTTTGAGTTTTTTCAATGCGAGGCATTCAGGGCACTGCTGCAAAAACACGAGGCACACAGCTGGTAAGAATTAAAATAACAACACAGAAAAGTTTTTCTGTCATACATACATGCTTTTCTTAGCTGCTGTTTCCCATACTCTGTGAACTTTCCCAACCAATCCACACACTCGTTCTCCAGGTAGCCTTTGGTGTATTCTTTTAGGACCTGAACCTCATCCCACTTCCTCTTGGTCTGGATTGCGGCATCAATCGGGGCAACCCAGACGGCGTGGGCGTCATCGAAGGACAGGAAGTCGTTTCCGTCGTAGCTGTACATGTCCATGCCACGGCGGAACTTAATTTTGCCGTCAGTTTGCGTTTCGCCTTCACAGCCGTGCATCCACTGAAGAACATGGACATCTGAGACCAGAGAGTGGAGCAGCACAGTGAAACAAATGCCAAACAACAAGGAAATGGACAATTACATATAAAGCCAAGAGGTGGGACAATTGTTAATATATGTGGTTTTCTGGTTTAACATTTAAGAGTCCATATTGTGCTCGTTTTCAGGTTCATACTTGTATTTTGGGTTTCAAATAGAACATGTTTAAAAAAGGCAAAAGGCTTTCAAAAACACTATTCTCCTTCAATTTAGTGCCTGTGTCTTTAGTTGTCCATTTAACAGTTATCAAGAAGTGTTCCCTGATGTATCTTACCTGAATCGTTCTGATTCATTCGCTTCATCAGGATTTCAATGTTGACTTTGAACCACTGCTGCTTGCTCTGGCGGGACTGTGTGCCTTTTTCCCAGTAATCTGGAGGCAGTCGCTCTCTCATCCACTCCTGTTTGGGAACTTTTTTCTGGGTCTCGCTGTCAAAGTAATCAATCATCCTGTTGTCCAGCATTCCCATGGCTGTGAACTCGTGGATGCCCGGGAGTCCAACGGGTTTGGAGAGGGCCGTATAGATGTAAGTGAGGGAATGCATCTCTGAGAGTCACACAGGTAGAGAGACAGACAGACACATTTATCAGACAAGGCAGATAAGCACCAGTAGATCTTAAGAGCCCCATCTAGGTTTGCTGCAGTAGTTATTGTTACAGGTGTACAGACATACATGAATTCAGGGTTTCCAACATGTTTGTTTATTTGTGGCAGCCCCACCCATGATCAAAATATCTGCTGCCACGTTTTGATTTTTGATTTTTGGAGCTGATCAATTAATTAGGCACACTGTTAGAATATATATACTATCTGGTTACTGTTTGCTCCACAGAGCGTTCTCTGGGCACAGAGTAGCAGCAGAATGTCAGACACAGTGAAAGTGAAACTTAGTTGCGCTGGGTCTACAAGTTTGCTTTCACTTGCCTATGCAACACCTGCCCCTCTCATCCATGATATATTATGATGAGATCAGCTCTGATCAGAAAGACTGATCGATTATCCAACCCGCAACTCGAAATTCTACAAACTGCGGCTGATGGAAAAAAAATAGACTCATGAAGATTTTTGCCTGCACTGCGTTTGTGGGCTCGCGAAAACCTCTGAGAGGACAAAGACTGATACACAATAACACACAGGCAAGAAAAACACACACACACACACACACACACACACACACACACACACACACACAAAAGGACATCCATGCTTACATCCATGTCTGTGAAAACATAGATACTTCACACAGCCCGGCAGCACAGAAGCTCTTAACAATCAGCACAGTTTTAGATTAGTGTCACCAATTCAGCATCTGACCAAATGTCTCCCCTTCTGTTCCTGAGATATGATGTTGAATAATGTTCAGAAGTGTTTTATGCAGAACATTATCATGTCACATAGACGTTGACCTTCGACCTTTTGGATATAAAATGTCATCACTTCATTATTTTATCCTATTAGACATTTGTGTGAAGTTTTGTCATAATTACCATAAGAATTCTTGACCTATGGCAAAAAACATTGTTTTGTGATGTCACACCAACCTTGACCTTTGACCACCAAGTTCTAATAAGTTAATTCTTCAGGCCAAGTGGCATTTGTGCCAAATTTGAAAAAAAAAAAAAAAAAACAACCTCAAGGTGTTATTGAGATATCACATTCACAAGAAAGAATGAGAAAGACAAGGTGACACTGACCTTGACCAGACGTCCGTACAACCTGAAAACATAATGCCTCTTGCTATGGCTATTGCTAGCGCAGAGGCATTAAAAAAAAAAAAAAAAAAAGGTACCGCCACACATAGATTCTAATTCTGTGGAAAACCCTGCAAGTACATTGCTTGCCCACCATCCTAGCCATCCCTTTGCCATTTTTAAAAAAATCGATACTTAGACCGACGATGGACGCTACAATAATAAATAAATAAAATAAATTTTAAAAAAATAACTGAAATAAATAAAGTGATTTCTCAGAATAAATGAGTTAGCCTTCTGTTTTAAATACATTTAATTGCTTTAATGAATAAATGTAAGGTAAGGTGCTGTTAGACTACTGCTAGACTGCCCCGTAATGCAGGTGCCTGCCTCCCTTTGTGGGAGAGCAACACCGGAAACCACAATTAAAATGGCTTGAGAAAATGACAAACAATTAATCAATTTTGTCAATCAACAAACCGACTATTCGACTGCTTCAAGTCATGGCTACACACATAACACACAAGTGACACATCAGTTGTTGCTGTTGACAGCTGTGCCACTTTTCACAGATATATCACTATTAGCGTAGATATGTCATGTTTATGTGTATAAATAAAGTGAATATCTGTTTTGTTTTTGTTTGTTTTTTAACTCTCACATAACTACCTACATGTACCTACAGCTCCAGTTAGAAAGAACAAGGAAATCAAACTCAGAAAAGAAATCTAACTTTGTTTATGAGTCAATTAAGCCTGTGCTTATCACGTCAGAGATACCTTAACAATGCTGTCTGTTCACCTCAGTGACGGCAATCAAAAGGGTGGTGTTCATAGGTCAACTCAAAGTTAATTAAGTGCAGTAAACACTAAAAACATGTCTGTCAACCTGTCTTAGTCTCAGAATATGACTACAGCTTCTACCAGCCACTGACAGATTAATCATAAGGGACTGTTCTGTACAGGGATGTGGTTGGTTTGTGTGTGTATTTTTGTTTTGTTTGGTTTTTTTTTTATTTTAACTTGACATTCCCTGAAGCCGCAAATATTTTTCCTTGAGCCTACCTGAATAACTGGGGGAAAACACATGACTCTCTCACTCTTCCAAATCAATTAACGTTATCTTTTAGGTTTCAGACTTCTAATGACACAAAATAAGCTATTTTAAAACAATTCATAAGTCTTCCTGAGCTTGAGTAAATCTTCTTTTTATCATAGTTTTAATAACCATTCAGAAACAATTAATCGATCGTTAAAATCATTCCTTCCAGTTTTAGCTTTAAAGTACATGAAAGTGAAAAATAAGCTGAACCACACAAAGATAAACAGCTGAAATTCCTCATACTGACGCCATGTTGTACACGCAGCCTAAATTAATAACAATCTGGAAGAACTAAATCCATTTGTTCTTATTTGTTTCTATGTACTGGCCATACAGAATAACTGCACAATACCAAAAATAAAAACACTCAACGTCCTTTTCTGCAAATTAAACGAGAAATGCGAATTTTAAAGACGTCACAACTTCGTCTTTTTTACTTTCGATTTCAACCCATGACTCCCATGACCATGTCAAAATGCTCTTAACTTACCGCAGTTTACCGCCAGTCCTGTCCCCAAAAGGACGAACACTGCGAGGAAATACATTTTCACCTCACCCAGACTGTTCTCTTGTTCCTAAAACTCGAGTTTTCTCCGACTATTTGACGGTCTTCTCACTTCGTGTCGGGGTGGTACATTGCTGCCTGCTTCCGCCTTCTGTCCACTAGTGTTGTGACGTTCACGAACGAACCGATTCTATTGAACGGCTCGTTAACATGAACGATGGGAACCGAGTCGCAGCTGGGAAACGGTCTTTTTTTTTTTTTTAATATCACTGTGTGCTCCTCCTTTGCTCCTCCCCTGAGCAAAATTCATTGTAGCCTGCTTTGTTTTTTAATGTTTATTTGTAAGTGTTAAGGTCACGGTGTTGCATGAATAACAAGTCATGGTAGCTTTACACACATACAAACAGTTTGTATAAAGGGTAAATCCAGAATAGTGATGTCACTGTCAAAGCAGAGTGATATGGCGCAACCTTGTGGAATATTTACAATGAATCCAGATCAGACTTTAAAATCTAGTCCACACATGTCAAATGAGGTTATAATCAATATTTCAGAATAATTCAAACTCAGATATTGGTGGGATATCTAATTTTGTATTATTTTGTTCCAAATCTTACCCCATCATACCTCCCAGTGATTATTTCCAAGATAAAATGAGTTACCACCAGGCTGGCTTCTTAAAACTTAATAAATATAAAAATCAGTCAAATGAGCCAGTTTTTTGAACGGCTCTTTAAAAGGAACGGCTCACCAAGATCCGGCTCCCCTCAAAGAGCCATAAATCCCATCTCTACTGTCGACTGTGCGCGCTGCATGGTGCGTTCAGGGACTGTTCGTAAATTGGTCACATGTGACGCATTTTATCCACATTCAACTTCTACGCCTTTTTTAAAACTTACGATATATTGAATGATCCTACTGGGTAATTCAATATATACAAATCTAAATTTGCCAAATGATCCACCTGTTTAAAAGTTTCTTTGACAATTTTTTTTCAGTCGAATGCAGTCTCGTGAATAATAAAAGTGTACCACAATACAACATTATAAGCAGCTATTTGGTCATTTGTTTTCTCTGTGATTTTGAAATGCTGTCTTTATTTAAATTTTATTTCATTTGTAAAACTCTAAAATGTATCATTTATCAGAAATAGCTGCTGATAATTCTCTGTACTACAGAAAATGTGTAGTTGCACTACAGCTGACATAACGATTAATCAACTCATTGTTTGAACTCTATGATGTATACAGATTTCATTTTTTTTTAAATTCAACTTCTTTCATTCTTACAATAGATTATCTAAGGCTACTTTTATGTATTTCCTTTTTTTGTCTGGTTGTACATATCAACATAGCAGAGATGCTATAAAAGCAGCATTTATTTTATTTCAGTATTTTGATAATTAAGGCCTTGAGTACTTGTATCACATCTGTCAACTATCTGTGTTGTCCGAAAAATCTGTGGATGACTACTGATGACCATATCTACCTACAGGTACAAGTAAAGTAACCTGAACCTGTAACAAAACAAATTCTTTGTACACATGCAGTTTCTGATCTGAAATTAACCAATGGAAATCTTAATAACCAAAAGTTTAACTCATTAATCTGCTGTGCAATGCCAAATAATAGTTGGTTAAAGCCTATCAAAAGTGAGGATTGTTTCCCTGCCACAAAAACTGTAAATTTAACATTATTGTGTTCTTCAGCTGTTGGTGAGATTAAATCTGAAAATTCATTTTTGAGTCTGGCAAATTTCAACAGGCATTAAACATTATTCTTTCTTTTTGAAGAGGAGAGATTTCACATATTTGTTGTTACAGAAACTGCTAGATTTATCCAGAATGGAACAAAGCTAATATCAGTCATATTACTAAATATGCCCACTGCTACACCTTTACTTTGACAAGTATCTGTGAACGCACCATGACTGCAGCTTCCTGGTTATTTGTGGTGTTTGTCATATGATGTGTTCAAGTTCATTGTCATGTTGAAACCTGCCTCAATTTAGTGAGGCAATACCACTGTAATACTTGACTGCACTACAAAGTTGCAACCCTACTGGAAAGACTTCTAGCAGCAAATAAAGTATTATATATTGTATATTGAGAAAAAACTAAAAAAAATTAGTCACAAATTAAATAAGTGAAAAGAGGTCTGTAATAATAATACTAACATAACCTGCCACAATATTATTATTAGTATTATTATTAATATTATTATTGTTGGATCAAGATAACATATATAATATGAAAATGTATGATAACATACCATTTTAACCAGTTTCTTTTAATTGCTTTTAATTATTCTATTAATAAGTATTTTTAACATTACATCATTTAATACACCCTACATTGCTCGACACTAATATCACTAGCAGTGGTGGAAAGTAACTAAGTACATTAACTCTGTAAGTACTGCATTTATACAGAATTTTGAGGTACTCTTGAAGGTACCTCTTGAATGTATATATTAATTCAACATGCAATGCACATAACTGTACATATTTCTTATGCTTACTCTAATTCTATTGTTGTTTATTCTACTGATGTACATATTGTAATTACATTTTCACACTTACAGCCTCAGCACATTGTACATATATATACCATTTTAATATTCAGATTTTTATATCTTAGGTATGAGTGTTAAACACAGTAGCATAATGCACATTTTATGTTTATTTTAATGTACATTTCTCCTCTATTTTATTTATTGCTCTGTATTTACACACTTTTTCCCATACTCTTGTTCTTACCTCTTGTAATTATTCTCTATTCTTCACATTGGAGCAATTGTAACAAATCATAATTTGTGCACAGAGTATAAGAATAACAAACTGTTTATTACACACATATTTTTGTGCACCATGCCTGTGTGCTCTTTCTCTTCCTATTCAGTTATGGCGTTACACCAGAGGAGGAATATGGAGGTGGAGGACCCTAATATCCAACGTTAGATCACATGTAGCTGGTAAAATTAAATATTACTAGCTAACATGACAAACACCCAAACTTTTGCTTTAAACGGTCATATTTATTTATAAAGCTTACGTCAGACTACAACTAACTTAGCTACCTTCGTTGTAAGCTGCTGTAAATGGAGACGAGACGTTTTTTTACTTTCATTTCACAAATGTGACCGCTGGCTCCGTGTTCAGCCACATTGATGACAAAAGCACTGTTACGACTGTTGTCGTAATTTATTTTGTTTGCGTGTGTTTTGCTGCATGTGTTCTCTGTGCGTGTTCTCTGTGTTTTTCTGTATGCAAATAGATGTGTGCCATAGCCCGGCGAGGATTGGTGAATTTGATCGGTGCTCATTCCTGATTGGCTGCCGCCAGGGGGGGGGGTCAGGTTTTTAAAGGACAAAGATGGCAGTTGCTGCGAGCTAGCAGGCAGACCTCACCTTCCTCCTCTCCCAACCGGCCACACATATTGTTGTTGCAGTAAATCATTATTGTTAAAGACTGTTAAATCGTAGGGGTGGACCGCCAGTTGTGTTACCAACCCTTTTTCTCCTGTTTATTTAGTTAGGGAGGTAAGCGTTTTGTCATTTGTTTTTTTTATTGTTTGGTTAGGTTATTTACTTACTCCCTGGGCAGGATTGTTTTTGTTTGTTATTTTGGCCTTAGTCCACCCTGAAGTTACTATTTCAGTTAATTCTGTTATTTAAATATTGTAAATAAATTCGCACTATTGATCGTTCCATACGTCTTTTTCATTGTGGCTACTTGGGACTTGGGGAAGATGGGGGCCTTTCATGTTGTGTCCCAGACACCCCTAGACTGGGCATAACAGCACGGATATCCAAATTGTTGGCCGAATCATAGTTTTAAAAGGACAAATCTTCTGATACAGGAGATAAAAATAGACCGTGGAGGTCTACTGAAGTGTGTGTGTACTGCACTTTGTCTACGGAGCTGAATCATCCAATCGAAAAATTCCAAACAGGTTGCTAGGCAGGTTTCATTTCAGGAGGTTATTGTCAGGCAGGCCAGAGAGGACTGGTGGGGGCGAATGTCTGTGTTTTGACCTAAAAGTATTATAATGGGCGGAAGAATTAATAAGAAATTTACTGAAGTAAAAGTACTAATATTCAGTGGTGAAAATCAACCAAATACATTTACTCAAACTTGGAATTCATATGGACAAACTATGCCAGCCAAAGAAGGGAGGGGGTCTATCACTGCCAAACATAAAATATAATATTTATTTTGAATGGTAAAGCTCAACAGACACTGGGGTGGAACAAATGCTAATTTGAACTGGATCCTGATTGAACAGGAACTTACTTCTTCTTTTAAACCTCTTAAACAATTTCAAAAATGAGAATGATAGGAGTATGATAATTCTTGTTTGAGCTCTTTCAACAATAGTTTGGCAAGAAGTACATAAAAAAATGTAAGATCTCTTGTAATACTCAAAAATAATCGGCCATATGGCACAATCCTGAAATAAAACAGGTAGGCAGACAATCTAGGTATCAGAATGTTAGATGCCATATTTGAAGAACCTGCACACACAATGCACCCGGCCCAATGCCAGTCCCTGCAGGAGGTGGGCCCACAGGGTGGTGCCTCCATGTTATTCATTCGAGCTGAGCTTGACTGGGCCCCATGGGCCACCAGATGCTCACCAACGAGCCGCTCCAGGTCTGGCTCCGGAGGAGGACCCCAGTGTGCCCATACCAGGCAAGGTACTCTGTCTCTTTTGCGTCGAAAGAGGCCAGTTGAGGTGGTTCGGGCATCTCATCAGGTTGCCTCCTGGGAGCCTCCTGTTAGAGGTGTTCCAGGTACGTCACACTGGTAGGAGACCCCGGGGCAGACCCAGGAGGAGCTGGAAAGTGTTGCTGGGGAGAGGGAAGTCTGGAATGCTTTACTTGGCCTGCTGCCCCCACAACCTGGCTTCAGATAAGCAGTTGAAAATGGATGGATGGATGGATAGATAGATGGATATTTGAGATAGATCATTTTCTTGCATATAATAGGATGAGGGAAAAATTTAACCTGGAAGGGCGAGGCCACTTTTGGAAATATTTACAGATTACAGCAGTGGTGTGAGCAATCATTATTGCCCCTGGATTACAGACTGTATTAAAGAGTGAGTTCCCTTCCATCAAGATAAGAATCTAATCAGTGCTATGTACAGCTGCCAGTAATGTTCCACAAAGCATCAAAGAGGTATGAAATATGTTCTTGGATAAAAAACAGTCTCAGAGAAGCCCCAAGCAAATTTATTTACTCTTACTCTAAAATGATTCACAGATATAATCGCATTCCAACCAAACTTAATAGAATGGGCTTATTTAAATTTGATCTATGTTCAAACTGCAGAAAAGAACGTGGCACATATATGCATTATGCAGGCATTATGGGAATGTCCTAGGGTTCCCTCCTGTGGAGGAATGTTCTGGATTATACTGGTAAATGGTTCAACTGCCCAGTTCCCATAGACTATGTCTCCTTGGTGACAAAACTGTAATGCCAAATATAAATAAAGTTGTATTTTAAAAAAAATTGAAAACCGGCTTTATAACTTGAGCTCTGATGATTCTAAGTTTCTAACGTATAAATATGTGGATCGTTCAAATCATGGAAACAACTGTGTGTGAAAAGATGTTGGGAAGATTAAGTTGGAGAAATGATGTGGTTAATGAACAATGGAACAGTTTCAACAGATTTATGTCTGGGAGGAACGTAAAGACACTGATGATGCCGTATAGAAGGTTAAGGGTGATTAAGGCAGTTTTTGAATTTCATAAATGAAAAAAAAAAAACACTCCAACAAATGATACATTTCTGTAATACTGAAGATATTACCTATCTTTTTGAGGAGAAAAGAAAGTTTTATCCTATTCCTAGGAGGCGTGATATACCCTTTTTTTAACTGTCCCCAAACCCCTTTTTTGTACCATTTGAGTGATTAGGACAACACATCTCATCACTGATTGAAGCTAGTGTAAGCATATTTAATACACAATTTAGAATTTTAGAAAATGCTAATCAGTATTAATTAGGGTTAGGTCAAGAGGTCAAGGCTATTTGTTAGATTTGACTTGGACAGTGTATGAGTGTAAACTTGTAGCTTTTCACTAGCTGGCTAGTCTAAGCTGGCAAAAATGGCCTGCAAAAAACACCCAGCAAAATCCAGCTGGTCAATAAATATTTTTCATGGTTGATGAGTGCACTGCACACATGAAGACGTTGGGAAGCACTGGTCTAGAGCATACAGAGCGTACACAATGGTTCTCTATTGCAGGGTTGATAATTTTCTTATTAGAATAGCCTTTTAGCACTGTCCCATTCACCCAAGGTGTGTTTGGGTGAATGGGACAAAATAAAAACAACTTAATTCCAAAAAAAAACAAAAACTTTTTTTTTTTTTTTTTTTTTAAATCGCAAGCTTATGGCTGAATCCAAATGTCTGCACTTCACTGCCCTTGCAGCCTCACAGACTTTATGTGAAGACAGTGAATACGTCGCACTACGTACAACTGAAGTCCGTGAGGGCTCAGTCTGCAAGTCCAGAGTGTGGACATTTGGATTCAGCCTATGTTATTTTCCTCACCTTATGCATTGCAGGGTCAACTTCCTGTATGAATCTTGCCCCACTCATCACATGATGTCACACATATGGGAGCATGCAATTTTGATTGTGGTTTCACAGCAAAAACTTTTTTTTTCACTCATCAGATGAGAAAATAAACCCTGTATAGTAACAATGTCCCATTTGCCCTTATGTTCCAATCACCCTTAATTCACCCTTCACTTGTGACATGTTGCAATAATGATTGGCTCACCATTCCAACTGAGTAGCTGCCTTTCCTGTATTAATCTCTGTCAGTATTTGCCAGACTTCCTGCCTGTTTGTTTGTTTTTGACTGTCTTGTCATTTTGTTAATGACTTTCCTGTTAAAAATATCATAAAAAATTGTAATGAAATAAACTAAGTACATTAATCAACTGATGACACTGAATCAAACATTCAACCCCCAAATCTTTGTTGAGTTTTGTATAACAACTCTTTATTAATTGCCAACAAATGAACACACAATGCATACTTCTAATATGTATTTATATATATCTATATATCTTTATCTATGTACAGCTATTATAATTCTGTTGGACTTTGGATTTGACAAAAATACATTACATTCACTTTTGCAGAGAAGCTTTAACATTTGCTGCCATGTCATCTTTTTCTCTACAGTCTGTCACTAAAGAAGAAGTCTCTCACTGCTTTCTTTGAGACAAAGATGAGGAAAACATTGATAGAACATTTTCTATTGCTGTTGAATCCAGACACATTACCTTTCATGCATTTATATTTCTTGTTTCTTGTGTAGTTATCAAATTCAGATAATGTGTCATGCTGATGGAGGCATCAAATAACATGTTTGTTTTCCTCCTCCTGTTCTGTTGAATATTTCCTCAGACTTAAATGCAACTTGTGTTAAACCTTGTTTTTTTAAAGGCAGTGATCCACTGAGCAATTTCTACACTAACATTTGGTTGCCATGAATCATTTAACAGTGCATCTTGCCTAGGAAATTGCTGAGTGTATTACCACCCTCATATGGAAAGAAGCCTGTTTATTGAATCATCTCCTCACAGCTTCACCCTCTTTTTCTCCCATGTCTCCCTCATCAGTTCCACTTATTCTCCTCCGTACTCCCCCCTCCCTTAGTCCATCCATCTCCTGTCAGTCCATCTTTTCCTCCCAAAGCGGAATCCGAATCCTCCTTTCTCCCGACTGACAGCTTGGAGGCCCCCGATAATAGAGGTCAGATCTTCGTTCCTTTTCCCTCCATCCTCTCCTTCTCCTTCCCCCTGATAGATCATGATGTCCCTAGAGTGACCCCCAGGGAAGGGTGACAGTGGCTGGGGTACCAGGTCTCCTCTCTGGGCCCTCAGCAGGGCCTCTTCTTCCCAGGACCTCTCCTCCTTCTCCTCTTTGGGCTTCAGCAGGGCCAGCTGGGGGTCTTGGGGCCACTCAGCCCAAGGGTCATTTACTGCAGACTGGAGGAGCAGCAGGGAAGACTCCAGCTCAGCTCTGTCCCCACTGGGCAGGAGGGCGGTGGGGGAGTGTGGGTAAGATGTGACATTCCGTGGGACAGGGCAGAGGAGGGCGAGGGAGAGTAGGGTCAGCTTTGAGACATCGAGATGGATATAAAGTCTCATCTGGAAATAAGAATCAGTGGGGTTACTTTGCCTTTTGCCATTTCACTATTATCATTGTGCAAATTAAAGTAACATCAGCTCATAAACAAGATGAGATTATCACAGGTAGAAAATTAAATGTAATTAGAGAAATAATGAGCCTCATTTCTACCAACTATTTTGGGTCAGTTCAGTTTAGTTCAGACCGCACTGGAACAATTAGTTTTACACTGTGAAAAGTTGTTAACGGTACCAATAAGAACCATTCCATACCATCCCCATTTTTGGTCACCCCTCTGTTGGGGTACCTATAGCACACAGGTCTGATACTAAAAGGTGGAGTTGTGGTGCACCCGGTGGCTCAGTGGGTGGAGCATGCGCCCCATATACAAAAGGCTGTGTCCTTTTCCAACCTCCTTAAGCACATAAAAATGTTTATGAATTATGTGAACTGTATGTCTTCTAATTCACATTTGAAGAAACAACATGGTTGAGCATCATTCCAGTGTGCTCTGGCAGCACTACACCTGAGCTCTTGCCTGACAAGGACTGAACTAGGGCTGCCCCCCAATGGTCCATCATATGTCAGTTGACCAGAAAGGGCATTAGTCGGCAAGATTTCATTGGTCGCTTAGTTGGAGAAAAAAAAGTGAAACTCTATTAGGAGCTGCGCCTTGTGAAAATAAATCAAAATCTATATGACTGGACCATGTGGGAATTTAATTTGAAAGGACAGACACAGGAAGTGGCCATGCTCAGCAGTCAGACAAGAGACACATTTCCAGGGCTGGTACCTGCAGTTATTCCACAGGCTAGTTAATAACATGTCGCGCAGGAAATCCAAAGTGTGGGATCATTTTGAGAAGGTGAAGGACAAACCCAAGGTGATATGTAAACTCATTATCATTGGTAGACTACAAACATGACATATCATCTGAAACATGGAAGTAGCTACATGCCCATTAGCCACTTAGCACATTCATTACTGCTTTGCAGACAGCGTTATTAACAGGCGGCTCACTCAGTGTGTGACGTGCACGTGTGATAAAATATAGGCCTATATTAATGAAGGTTCATTAGTACGGTTTTGTATTTCTCTGTAATGTCGCACAGTGTTAACAATGTTACCTATAATACTCTTTGTCAGACCTTGAACTCAAACCACTGTGTTGCCCCGCCCAAATTATATAATTTGATAATTAAATTAACATCGTAAACATGCAGGCAACTAGTCGACTAATGGACCTAAATGACGACTATTGGTCGACTAGGAAAATTCTCAGTCGGGGGCAGTCGTACAATGAACAAACCTGCTATTGTTAAATATCCTATGACGAGAGACTCTCCACAACAAAAATTGTTGTCATGCAGCCCTGTTCTGTGGATGATGAACTAGGTGCATCAGCTATGAAGAGAAAATACAGAGAGAGAGCTGCACCAAGCAGTGAATGACAATGACCCCGTCTACATTGTCTCTACACTCTCTGCATGGACACACTAAATGAATTTATAAACTAGGATCTAGGGACATTAGAACCACATGTTAATAATCTCATTAAAGCCTGCTACCCACAGGTAACCCACAAAACATTACCAACATTTAAACAGCTGGGTCTTTCCCAGACCTAGAAAAGCTTATTAATGCTTTTGTATTCTTGCGCCTCAACTACTGTAATGCACTATTTACATGCCTCAGTAAATCTTCAGTAGCTCAGCTTCAGCTAGTACAGAAAACTGGTACAAATCGTAGGTCACATATCACCCCAATTCTTACCTCCCTCCACTGGCTGCAAGTTACCTTCAGAATTGATTTCAAGATTATTTTAATAACTTAAATCTCAACATAGGTTTGCCCCCAGTTATAAAGCTGAACTTCTGACTACCTAATGCTCCAAGTTGTGACAAGAGATCCTCAATCCTACCCTCGCCAGAAGTCCCTTGATTGAGGTCGGTAATTAAAGGTGACCAGGCTTTTGCCATTAAGGCCTAAGGGTCTGGAATTCTTTGCCTAAGGAGATTGACTGGCTACACATTACAGGTTTTTAAATCATTGCTTTTTTTCTTTTTCTTTCTTTTTTTTTTTTTTTTTATAGAAAAACATTCCCTTTTAATGCCTGATTGGTACTTTTTGATTTGTAACTTTGGTGTTTAATATCCTTTTGTTTTATTTTTGCCTTTGCACACAATATTTTCATATTTTTATTTTTTCAGCTCTTAACTTTTTTTATCATAAATGTTGCATTTTTATTGTTGTCTTTTATGCACTTTGTGAGGCACTCTGTAACTTTGTGCAGATGAGTTCTATACAAATGCAATTATTATTATTATAATTATTATTATAAACAATAAATAATAAAAACTAAAAAACTAAACAAAGATAAAAAATACAATCTTGACATTTTCTTTCTTTCTCTATGCCCTTCCTGCAGTAAATTAATTCTTCTCAAACACTCAAAACTTAGTAAAATTATCACCAATTAAACTGGTTGAGTTTCACACTGGTAATGACCAGTTTGTGTTCAACAAGGCTTTTCTTAAAACATTCAAATAATTAAAATATTAATCAAATTAATGCTTAAATCTAAAACAGGGTTCTCACAGTCTTGGGAGACCTGGAAACGTCATGGCATTTCACAATCACACAGGCAACTGGGGCAAAAAATACAAATATTATGGATCCTAGAGAAGTCATGCAAAGTTTTAAAATTTAGTTTGAAAATGTGTGAGAACCCTGCTAAAGAAAAATGAAAGAAGAGATGAGGTATAAGCTGCAAGAAATCCCAACAAAAGCCCTCTGTTACTTTGTCATGGCAAATAGGTCACATGAATAAGCGCTGAATAAGAATAATAAGAAAATGCATTGCAGCAGCATTTCCATCAACTTAAAAACACTGCAGCTTCTTGCATGGATGATATGAGTCAACGCCTGCAAAATCATAAAAAAATAATTCTAGCTGCTTTAGACACAAACATGTTGTGATAAACATTTTGTCAAAAGTGTGAAATAAACTTAAGACCTAAAAAACCCCAGAAGAAATAAGATACATACATGTGTTAGCACTGACGAAGAAGAAGACGTGAGAAACTAACAAAATTCAGTTTTTCTTACCTTGTGTTGCGGTCTAACTTGTTGTATCTCCTCTACCATTCATCGCCTCTGACCTTTTTAAAAACTGCCCGCCCCCTTCCTTCCCCTCTGCCCTCGGGTCGCAGGCTGCTGTCACCCTATTGGTCCCTTGCACCTCTGACGCACACAAAGTCAGTGTCATAAACAGTCACACCCTTCATTCTTTCAACTGAGAAACTTCAGTCCACTTCAGCGCCGAGGCCCAGAGTGCCATCGTCATTATCAACGCTTGATTAGGGAGCCAATTTACAAATCAGGAAGCAGCCAGGTCATTAGGATGCTTGTGAGGAGAGGAAGTCTCTGGGCGAGGGGGAGGATACAGGGAGACAGAGAGCAAGACAAGAGCAGTTTGTGGCTTCTTTTGTCATCATGAAGGTCGTCTCGCTGGGTAAACACAAACGCACCTGAAAGAATGTCATTCAAGCGGTCTGGATTTGAGGAATCATCATCACAAACCTAATTTAATTTTCTACCAATTATACAACAAAGGATCTGCAGAGTGTTGATTCTTTTACGATTTCTACCTTCAGGTTATTTTAAGACTGGTGCTCGTCATTCAGGACACAAAGTTCTGTGGTGGAAGAAGTGTTAAAATCATTTACTTAAAAGGTCAGTTCACCTCAAAATCAAAAATACATATTTTCCCTCTTAACTGTAATGCTATTTATCCGTCAAGACTGTTTTGGTGTGAGTTGCCGAGTGTTGAATATGGAGTTAGTTGATTTTTTTTTAAGGGAAAGGGGATCTTTAAGGGGAGAGAGGTCGACAGTATATGCCAATTGTACACCTTTTCGACAGTCAGGGGCTTGACTTGGCCTGGCTTGGCTTGGTTTTGGGTCGTCAGCCCAGCACAGCAGAAGTTTGCATTTCCATTACAACAGGGTTACCTTCTTGAAAGTGAGTCTTTAACTGATGACGACTTGTCTTGAATGATGATATTTAAAAGCAGCGGGCTGATCCACGGCTAAAGTTCCCTGTTATTTTTGCTACATGTGTTTTTCCAGGTAAAAGACGTTCACCTGTTGGAGGTGAGCTATTTGCAGAGGTGCAGTAAGAGCCTGTTGTCTGCAGCTCTACATCTCTTTGTGGCTGTTTCCGCTTTCACTTTCGTCCCTGCGGTATTATCAGACTTGTCTTTATTGAAGAAAAGCTGCTAGTAAAGTTCTGCTAATTCAGGACTAACATTTAATTTCCTACAGATTCTTTACAATAAAAGTCCCCCATTATTTTGTTCTGAAAAAACTTTTTTTGTGAAGCAGTGATAAGAAACACTGAATTTCCACTTGGGGATGAATAAAGTTATTCTTATTCTTATTCTTATAAGCCAATGTTTTTGAGCAGCAACTTCACACAACTTCTAATAAGGCTGAAAGCGAACATGGAACAGTAAAATAAAGCAGATATCTAAAGTAAAAACAGGAGGCAGGAGAGAAACTAAACTCCAAATTCAAAGATTCAGTTAGACGCTACAAAAGCACTAAAAGACTCTGTAAGTGCCTTTCTCTCTGGTCTCCTGCAGAGACAGGTATGTAGAGTCTCACAACACAAACAGCTTGTTTGAGGTGGAGAAGCAGGGTCATCTGGGATTGTCTGTGGTCGGTGAGACATCACTGCTACCCACTTGAAGTCCATCTCCAGTGCTGCTTGGCGTGGCACGGTGCATCTTAACTGACAATGGAAACACAAATCGGTGCAGCATGGCTGTACTCTGCGCAGCCAAGAGTGACATTGGCAAAAGGGTATTAGAGGTGGTATAAATCACCCTGAAAGCAGGGAACCTGAAAAATTATTTTACATACAGCTCAGCACTTTGTGTCAAGTTTTTCTAGTCATAAATATGTAATAAATATGTAATAAATATTATGTTTTGGTTAGGCCCCTGTTAAAACTTACTTTAAAGAGGGGCTTAGAACATTACGATGGAAGCATGATGAACATGATGACTTCTGCTTTGGAAACTGTTTTGAAACCCCCTCCTTGACAATATACCTAACTTTACAACCTTTGAATGCTCTAGGTGTTTAGTTTGTGAATGCAAAGTTTCATGAGGCTGTGATTATCCTGGGGGTCACAATATGCCATTTTATACAGTGATGTCTGTTTCAAAGAAATGGTCTCAGTACAATAAAAGGGTTACTATGGGGGCTAACATCATCACACATGAATAAAACTGGGCTCATTGAATCCACAGTCTCAGCTTTCCAGTCAGACCCAGTTTATGCAACTATGAGACTGTTCATGGATTCCAGTATGCAGAATTGTTCAAATGAACTAGGCAAAAATAACACATTTATAGAAAAACTGCATTGGACAAGCATAAAGTGGGCATGTCTGAAAAGGAGGGACTCGTGGGCACCAACAGAGCCATTTCCATTCGGATATCTTGAGGTGAGAGTTCCCTGTGAAAATGGCCATGCTGTTTTTTTTATCACCCCAAAATTTACCTTAACTTTAGAGCTATATTTAACCCACTTCTCTAATCTTCCCTTCCCTTCCACCTTTTTTGTATTTGTGGAAGTTGCTCTACAGTTATGGATTACACATTTACACACGGATTGTTGATCTGCCAACGGTCTCACTTCAAAGTTGTCGAAAACCGGTGCTTGGTCAGTGACTGACGGCATCAGACACTGACAAAAAAAGCTGTCCTTTCACTTCGGCATGATATGTGGCCGGTCCCTGTTATTGTTTAATGTCGCCTGGCAGCGTTAGGGGAAAAAGTCTGAGTAGGGAGGGCGAGACGGGTGGTGGATGTGTCCAACAACCACCGACAACCACCGAATGGTGCGAAACAAACCATGCGTTTGTTGTTGACAAACCATGCCTTTGTTGATGAAGGAAAAATACGTCAGTTTCTGGTGTTGGACCAACATAGTGCATTTATTTTAAAAGAGACTGTATGCAAACTGTACATTTTCTGTGAAAATGGAAGGGTATTTTGAAAAAAGACAATGAAAGCACCCATGGTACCTTGCACGTGGTATCTTGATGTGGAAAGGACGTGGACGTTTTCAGGTTGACCACTGTAGTTCCCCTACACACTCGACACACAGGAGTTTTAGTTTTTCAACCTCACTACTAGATGGCACTAAATCGTCCACACTAGACATTTAATGAGTAATCAGCTAATCATTCAAACTCTGCATGTAGTGGATGAGCCACTGTTTGTGGTGCACAAAGAGGGAACTTGGAGGAAGAAGTGCGGGCAAGTTAATGTTTTATTCACCGAACACAGAGTGTTTTATTATAAAGGAAGCAGAGAAGAATCTTAACATCAGGCACGTCTGATTTAAACAGATGAACAAAGTGTTGTTCATGGGGGAAAACCAAGTTGTCTAAATATAAGACATACTGAGTTCATTTTTAACTTCTGGAAACACTTTGCCAAAAATTCAATAGAAGAAAAATAAATAATTCAAAAACAACAAATGTCATCAGACTGAGTTTTTACTTCATCAGTTTGAAGTCGGTGATGATGACCCCTCATTATTTGACTTATGGTATTACGTTTTTATTTCTATTACTTCCCTCCCTATCACTTCACAGTTAGTCTGAGAAAAAAAACCTAATTCATTTAAGGTGGAACATTTACTTATAATGCTACTCAATGCATGAGTGGACAATGTGAATCAATCAGCACACCTTGAATTTCAATATGACAACTTTGACCATTCCATTAGTTTTTATGCTGTCTCCTGGATGACAAATGCTTTTAGTAATTAAGTGTTTAAGTGTTTAAAAATGTATATATATTCATTTCAACCAGTCTATATGAACTGCATATATTCTAATCCTCACTAGGAGAAAAAAGCATTGCAAAGTGTTGCAAAGCATCACTCCTGGGGGCTCTGGCAACACTAAACCCCTGAGCTTGCCTAAGAAGGACTAAATGCCAAAAGCTGCTATAAATATCCCATGGAGAGAGACTCTCACTGCAGCCTGTTCTGTTTTTGTTCTGAAAATGTTCTGTGGACGATAAGGTGCAGACTTCCATCTGTGTCACTGGTGATGAGGAAATACAGTGAGTGCTGGATGGAGCAGTGAGTGACAACAACCCAGCCCACATTCAAGGGTACTGTTTGCGGTGGAAACACTAAGGTCTAGGTACCATGTCTGAAGGGTTACTTTTGGTTCCAAAGACACCATACCGAAAGTGTTTGGTAGAAAGGGCTAAAGTGAACTCAGACCCCTGTGATGTGAACCAAACTAATCTCGCCTCCGAGGGGTCACAGGCAATTTGTATTTGGTCTGATGGGTATCAGCCTCGATGTTTACTCTCCTACAGACATATCCTGTTGCTGTTTCCTGTTTAGTGTTGCTTCACATTTAAAAGCATTTAACTAAAATCTTAAGGATTATGACCTGCTTATGTCCTATTATGAAAATCTTGTTGTTACTCACAGTGTGGAGGTCGCTCAATTAGGTACTACCTGGACTAGCAGTAATGTGGTCTAAAAGAACTATCAGGATCAACTTCTCCCTCTGCTCCTCCTCCTGCTTCTCCAAAGTCCTCATACGTCTCAAGGGAGGAGACATTCCCTGGTGCACTCTGGGAATCGTATTCAAGGAAGAAGTCGGGGTTTTGCAGCTGTTGCGACTGGCTAATGGCAGGGCTCACCAAAGGCTCGCTGAGCGGGGCAGTGAGCAGAGAGAGCTGCTGCTGGTCGATGGTGCTGGTGGAAGAGAAGAGCTGGGACTGGTCAGGTGGGGAGCAGGCTGGGGGCGGTGAGCCCATCGCCATGGTTACGCCTCTCAGGGGAGCTGAGGGCAAGTTGACCTGAGAGTCATCTGCAGTAAGGGAGCGTCTCAGTTTGGCCCGTGCGTTTTGAAACCACACCTGATAGACAAAGAGTGTTTTAGTGTGTTTGTGTTCATAGTGGAAAAATAAGAGTGAAAGAAGAAGATAAAGACATTTGTTAACTAACGTGTTAATGTAGATTTGATTTAAAGGGTGGGTTTGGTATTTTTCAATGTGGACCCAAGTTTTCCATGATTTTGTATCTAATGACTAATGACAACAACAGTTTTAAACAGGCTGCAATGTAAACATTTGGGGGAAGTTTGCACCGTCAACTGACCTTTCGCTAAGCCCCACCCTTTGTGATGGTCTGCCAAGCTGTTGGAGTGAACATGGAGCCCACACTGTAACTAACTTTTTTTTGAAACATGAAATAGTGATTCCAGAGAGAAACAGACAGAGGAGTGTACAATGTGTGTTTGAAGGATATATCCAGGATGTCAAACTGACTGAGCAGCAACAACAGATAGTTAGAAGCTAAAGCCGAACTATAGGCTACAGATCACAGTGTAAAAGTGAACCACCACATCACTGATGATCAAGACAAAAGACAATGAATATAAAGGGAAACTTCACTGATAATGAACCAGCTGTGTGGCATCACAGTGTGTGCAGATGAACAGTGTTTGGTTTCAGCTTGTGCTGCTGCCAGCACCCGATCCTCCTCTGTCGCTGGATGGGCAGGGATCTCCAGGGGAAGTCAAAAAAAATTCATCTGAGCACAATGCCATGACACACAGCTGGTTGAATATCAGCAAAGTTTCCCTGCTTCCCTTCACTGGTTCCTGTACAGCAGGGTTGGTCTTTTTTCACTGTTATAATCATTAAAAAGCAAAAGCAGCATGTGTATACATTCAGTAGGCTATATGCTCAGTAGCTAGCTAGCTAACCCTACACTTTTCAGGGTTTGATTTTGGTTTTGGAACAGGGAGGAAATGTATATCTTTTTTCAACCTTTCCAGGTAACGAGTAAATAAGGAAGTAGAATCACGACAAAATAAGTGATATAGTTTTCCAGTTTGCCTTCATATATTAAGTAAAAAATAAAGAAAAATTATGTCTTATTGCTTTAGTTTATAAACAACAACATTAACTCACAGTGAGATTCAGATTCTGTATTATCAACATTAATAGTTCAACAAAATAAAATCTACCACAAATTACACATTTAAACAGTTTCCATATGCAAAAAATGAACCCTGGAATCTAATCTAATATAATGACGAAAACTTTCTGTGTGTATGTCTGTTCCACGTTTTTCTCCTCACTGACTTGGTCAGTCCATGTGAAATTTGGCACAGTGGTAGAGGGTCATGGGAGGATGCGAATGAAGCAATATTACATCAATTGGCCTAAGGGGGGCGCTATAGCAACTGATTGAAATGACAAACTTTGAATGGGCATATCTCATGCCCCGTATGTCGTAGAGACATGAAACTTTGCACAGAGATGCCTCTCCTCATGAGGAACAAATTTGCCTCAAGAACCCATAACTTCCGGTTATATATATATTTTCCGCCATTTTGAATTTTTTGAAAAACACTTAAAATCAATCTCTTCCTAGGAAGTTTGACCGATCTGCATGAAACTCAGTGAACATAATCTAGGGACCAATATCTAAAGTTCCCTCTTGGCAAAAGTTGGAAAACTTACTAAAACTGAGCTTCTATAAGGCAATGAAGATTGCGGAGGGCATGGCTCATCACATAAAGGTGTATAACATCTCAAGGGTTTCACCGATCACCACGCAACTTTGTAGGCATATGACCACACATAATCTGAGGGGACCCCTCCATTATTGACCCCATCAAGCAAAATGGGGGTGCTAGAGAGCTAATTTCTTATCTAGGCCTAACCGCCATATTGATTTTTACTTAACTTGGTAGATATGTAGAACAGGACGCCTCAAGGTGACTGGAGAAATTTAACTCTAATTGGCAACTGGGTGGCGCTATAACAACAGAAAAATGCTTGAAAATGGCTAAAATGCGACCGATAACTGTGGCTCCCCCTGTGGCCCAATGTTTGTTTTTTCCTTCTAATTTTTGGTATGACTAAGTCATGGTATGGTATGCTGTACTCAATGGATATGGACTAGTCTATATATATATAAATCAACAGGTGATTTTAGCAAAATCCTAAATGATTGAGTTATTTTTTTCCCCACCTGGAACTTTGTGCTCTGCCATTTCTCCTCTAATGTGGCCAAGAAGTAACCTGTGACAGGCTGTTATGGTACCATAACTATTGCACATTAACATATATGTAGTTTTTGATGAGCATCACATAGGTTTACATTACCAAAGGTTAATGAGCTGATATGGCACCCTCCTTACAGACAGATAGATATGTTTCTGAGTGTATGTGTATATATATAACTGTATATCTTCCATGTTTATATAATTTAGTTTTCTTTTTCTTCCTTCAATATCCATTTTGTTCTATTTCATTGCCTGCTGTGCTGTTTAATCTACTAACCTTTAACCATGTTTTCTGGCATGTGTATATTTTAAATTACACCTTACACTGACCCAGTTTTATTTATGACAGCTACCATTGACCTGTTTACATTTCTTTTATTCACACTCTTTATATTTGCACTCTTTCCAACTTTCCCTCAGGATAATAAAGTTTTATCTCATCTTAATTGAAGATTTATGAATGTCTGTTGCTATATTTTCTCTCTCTGTAATGTGACGGGGGTTACATCTGAACAAAAATCATCAAAGTGAAAGAATTATAGTAGAATTTTGCTTCTTTTTTTTTTGGTTGAAAGGGGACTTCAAAATCCAGACTATGATTTTACTTATTCTAGTAATCTCTACATTTTCTTTAAACTAGATCACATGCGTCAACACTGAGCATCAGATTCATATCTGCAGTCAAGTGCAGCAGTAGCTCTGGGACGTGTTTACCTACCAACTTGAAGCTAGGGGAAACTGTTTGCCTTCATGAATTGTACATAAAACAAAATAAAACAACTTCACTATCTTAATGGCTCATGTTTTGTCAGTAAAAGTGTTTTTACAAACAGCTAAAAGTTGGACTTGGGCTTAAAGCCAAAAATTTAAAATCCTCAACTTAATTAAACTGTACCCACCTGAAACAAACAAACAAACACAAATAATACCTAAAATATAATATCTTAATACTTTGACTTTATAATGTCGCTCATGTAGTTTGTACCTGCAAGACTCTCTTTGGCAGGCCAGTCTTGTGTGCGAGGCAGGTCCAGTCTTTCCCATCAGGATTGTGTTTCTGGGCGAAATATGACTCCAGTGCTCTGAGCTGCTCGCTGCGAAAACTTGTTCTAATTCGCTTGGTCCGCCTGCGGGCCCGCCCACCTGCCACCTTGTCATCCAATCGTGGCTCAGGACTGCTAACAGACTCCTCCCCTTCACCTGAGACCTGACTTTGAGCTGTTATGCGCACGCACACACACACACACACACACACACACACACACACACACACACAAAACACACACAGGAGTGTTTTTTCAGCAAGCCGACAGTCTAAACACACCTTAAAACTTGTTAGTCTCTTTTGGCTCCCAGTTTTCAGCGAAAAAAGCCAGAATTAACACCCTGTTCTGAAGCAGACAACAGACAAACTCAGTTGGACACAGCTCTTTGCCAAGATGTGAACATAAACAATTTTATAAAGGTGATAATATCATGACGTATGTCTTACTGTGAAGAAGCACTGGAAACAACACACTGCACAAGATTTCCTCTGCCACTTCTTCTTAAATAACTTCTTCTGCCAGAATTTAATGAACACATTTTTTTTTTACTGAAGATAAAGAGAAAAGGTAATCTTTTCCCTCACATAAATATCATTACAATATCTACCCACTCCTCTAATTTGGAGAGTTCAGGAAGCAACCAACGCCTTGTGAGGGCTTTCTTGCACGCAGATATCAAAATGCCAAACGTATATTTGTCAGAATGCTTTGCCTTAAAATCCATACATCCTAAAAATAATGCAGAAAATTGCAAATGAACATCAGTGTTAAGTATCTTTTTTAGTGCTTTATGAAATTCTGTCCAGTAAGGTCTGATCACTGGACACTCCAAGAACACATGTCAATGACTGGCCTCCTGAAACCCACACTGTCTCCAGCACTTGGCGTCCCCTCCAGGAGAATGTGCTCTCTGCTTCAGTGTGATTAAAGAAAAAAACGGAATAAACATTTCCACCCAAACTCATGCCACACATGAGTTGCTACTTTTCCACTGAAATTTACATATATCCAGCCAGTCTTCATTCAATATTGACAAATTACCTTCTCTTTCCCTTTTTTTCTTTCTTTCTTTTTTTTTTTTTACATTTTCTGTAGTGTAGGGTTTTCTTGTTGTAAGGCCTTTATAGTGTTTAGAAATAGCACCCTTATTGGCAACATTTTGTTATATTTCTAATGTTATGTTCAAAGTGACTGCGTACTTGGAGATATTGAAAAATAAAAATCTGATTTTTCAAGACAATATTCTTTCTCAAGGATCCCAAAGTCTCAAAATCGTCCCTTTTCTGTGAGGGAATAGATTGTAGTTATTCATTTTAACACCTGGGAGTTAAATCTATTATCCACTTTATTAGGCTTGAAAGCAGGGTCATAGGCACACCATTGAATAACTCCAGATTTTTAATTGAGCTTTCAACCAGGGATTTTGTATAGTATCCATAACTCTCCCAAATGTTGGTGGGCCAATACTGCATGAATCAGAGGATCATTCATAATGAAAAGTTCAATTTCTTGAACCTCACATGAAATAATGGAGTACACATTTTAATTAAGGGCGTAATCTGGGCTGCATAGTTTAATCCTAGGTTTTCTCCCCTGCCAAATAAATCTGGAAATGCTATTATTCAATTCGGTAACTGTTTAGAGGGAACTTCCACAGGAAGTGCTTGAAACAAGAAAAGATATCGTGGGAGAATGTTTATTTTTACTGAGTAAACTCTATGGCTAAGACCAGGGAAGGAAATGGAATTCCATTTGTGTATGTCATCTTTAATTTTGGTGTGATATTTCTCTCATATGTTTTGGTGTTATATAATTAAAAGTCAAAATCTGTGTTATTTCTTTGTTAAATTTATATCCTGCATATCTACCGAATGTCTCTATAAGGTTCATTAATTCAGAAAATGAGTTAGGGGGTTTATTTAAAAAGATCAAAATATCATGGGCATACAGTGCCACCTTGTGGTCGTCTTCATTTATGTGGATACCTTCCATACTCTCTGTCTGCCTTATCCACTGTGTGAGAGGATCTATATGAAGTGCAAAAGCAATGGTGAAATTGATCACCCCTGCCTCGATCCATGTTCTAAGATGATTGTGTCTGAGAGGTATCCATTTATTTTTTTCCAGGTTGATGGCTTACTGTATAATGTAATGCCCCTCACAAAGTTTTCTTGCATGCCAAATCTCTGGAGGACTTTATATAAGCATGGCCAGCTCACTGAATCAAAAGCCTTCTCTGCGTCTAGACTGATCAGGGAGGCTTCAAGATTGCTCTGTTGAATATGGTTTAATATGTGCAATGATCGTCTGATATTATCATGAGTTTGTCTTTGTGGGACAAAGCCAGTCCAGTCGTTATGTATAAGCTGGGGAAGGATCTTTTCCAATCTTTTGGCAAGGATGGCAATGGTAATTTATAATCAACATTCAACACAGAAATTGGCCTATATAATCCACATTCTAATTTGTCTTTTTCTTCTTTATGGACAACGAAGATCACTGCCTCACTCCATCATGGGGGCATTTTAGCATCCATTAAGGCTGTATCGCACTCTTAAAGAAGGCTTAGCATGAACTTGAATTGCAAAGTCTTATACCACTTGGCTGGAAAGCCGTCTGGGCCGGATGATTTGTTCGCTTTAAGCCTAGAGATGGAACTGTTTCACTCTTTCTCAGTTACCATAGCTGTTAATATATAAAATCTTCTGTTATGACAGGTAAGTTGAAAGAATTAAGGAACTTGTTAATTTGTTCCTCGCCTTCTAAGTGTGGTTGTGTATACAAAAACTTGTAAGACTTCGTAAATGTTCTTTGTATTTCATCTTGTTTATACCGTGCAGTTTTGGATTCTGGGTCCCTTATTTTGTACATAGCATTATCTGCTCTTTGTGTTTTTTAGCTTTCTATTCAGGCTGGAAGTTTTATTGATTTTGAGCCTGACTCGTAGTATTTCTGCTTTGAAAACACCATCATTTTTTCAGTTTCCTGTAAATATGACATATTTAATTCTTTAATTCTTTGATTTCGTTGCTAATTTAATTTGTTTTTGTCAACAAGTCAGGTTCTGTTCCCTTTTATACGACTCAAGATCTTTCAATTCCCTATTGAGGTCCATTAGTCTTAATTGTTCTTTCTTTTAATGGGCACAGAAAGATATAGTTCTGCCCCTGTATACTGCTTTTACGTTATCCAGTACTATAGCTGTATCAACCTTCTTCTCATCATTTTCTTCTAGAAACACTTTTATTTCTTTTCTTATCTGAGTCTTAAATTGTGGGTTGTTTAAGATATTTGTATTTTTTTGTGTTCTTCCCCAGTTGTCATTAATATGTATAGTTCAAGAGAAGGGTACATGATCAGTTAAATTGATAGGTCCAGTATTACAACTCTGGAATCTATGGCCTTCTCTCTGTAACACAAAGAAATAATCTGTTCTTGAATATGTATCATGGGGGGATGAATTAAAAGTTTAATCATGGCCAGAAGGGTAAAGTCTCTCCAGAGATCGAATATGCCCAGCTCTGCCACTAAAACATTAATTTTCCTATGCAGTGGTCTAACAGTTGAATTTCTTGATGAGTCTAATTATGGATCAAGATGATGCTTTCTGTGATATTAAAATTGCTACGCCTCTTCTCCAGCCTGATTTATAAGATGAATAATATATCCTTAAAAACCCCATTCTCTTAAGTTTTTTGTGTTCTGATGGAGTGAGGTGTGTTTCTTGCAAGAGTACTATCTGTGCATTTTCCCTTTTAATGTCTGACAGTATTTGACTTCTCTAAGCTGGGTTTGATATCCCTTTCATGCTGAAAGAAGTAACTTTAAATACTTGATTATTCATAGCCTTCTATATTGATTAGCAGAAATCAAATCTCTCCCGATATCTTTGGTGGCATCAAAATTGTACACTGAAAAGATCTCTCCCAACACTTTTTGACAGAACATTATCAAACCGATTTAGAACAGTTGTTTCCAAAGTAGAGTCTCATTTCAAAAGAACCTTTTGAGTCTTTGTAAGGTCAAAGTCCACGGAAGGGTGGGGCCCTAAGATGTGGTTGCATACTGGCGTAAGTCCAAATAAAATTAAGATAAAACAAAACAGTGGATAACTTACCAGTGAACAACTCATTTTACTAGGTAGGTATTACAGCTGTAGGAAGCCTACGTACCAGTGAGAGCTCCCTGTTCTTGTCTTTAAGACAAAAATAAAGACGAGGAATCATAACTTATCTGCGTTTATAATACCACAGAACACGATTAGTCTTGTGTTGTGGGGGACTGCCGTCTAAATTCCTGTCGGTTTTCCTTGTATTGAAAGTGATGGTTTTCCTCGGGTTGAGTGTAGTCGCCCATTACACCTTGTTCCTGATCTTCACCCCAGTCGCACCGTCTCCCCGTCACCTGCCAGGTGGACAGGAGTCGGATCTCCTCTTCGTCTGGAGCAACGGAGAACCTCACCACCGTGACTGGGAATCCTCAGGAAGTCATATCCCTCATGGCCTCTGCAGCGTCTTGGAACAGATGGGTGTCGTTATCATAGAGGATGCCTTGCAGAATACAGCATTTGGAACTTTATTTGTTTTTTCTTTCAGCACTTTCTTGGCTTCAGCGTATTCTCTGTGTTTCTTAAGCACCTTGGTCGGGAAATCATGGTCAACGTAAAAGTGCACTTTATCACAGAACACCTCTTTTTTTCTGCCATGCTTTCATCAAGGGACCTCTTCCTTTGTCAGTTAACTCCCAAACTTGAAAACAATCCTTAAGTTGCCTTCCCACGCTTGACCCTCCTGATCTATTAGCTTGGCCTCTGGATTAGCTTGCTGCTGTGTTAGCTGCTTGGTTATCGCTGATGCTGCTTGAAGCATGGTCTCCATCTCATCAGTTCTCCCCTCTGCCTCGTCCTGTCTGTTGTTTGCTCTCCTCAGCTCTCGTTTGATGTCTGAGAGTTGTACCCTCTTATCTGTTCTGAACTCCTGAAGTTTGTTGAGAATGCTCTACAGACTAGCTTTGGGGCCGTCCACGTCTTGTAGGTAGCGATCTGGAGGGCTGCTTCGGCTAACATGTCCTTGCCTCTGTTCAGGATCCTTCTGTATCATGTTTATGGTTGACCTTCTGGTAGTAACCCCTCTGTCCATTATTAAGCAGAATATACACTAGGATTGACACAACAAAGGGTACTTGGGGGGTTACTATGCAAAACTGTGGGGGAGCTCGAAAATTCATCAGTCATTGGCTAAGCGGCAGAACCGGAAATCCAATTTAACATATTTATTTCCACATTTATTTATTATTTTATTCATTTATTTTTGTATTTAATTACATATTTATTTATGCATTTCTATTTTATTTTCTTTATTTATTCCTGTGTGTATTTACATATTTATTCAAATATTTTTATGCATATATTCATTTACTCTCTAATTTATTTATTTTTTGTGTTTATTTGTTATTTTAACTTATCATGTAGCAATTAATTTATACATTTATGTATTCTTTTTTTTTAATCTGTGGATACATAAATTCATTTTTGTACTTTTAGCATATATTATTTATTTATTATTTATTTTTTCATAAATTTAATTTTAATTTTTTGATTCATTTTTTCATTAATTTTTCAACAAACTTGTGTCATTATTAGTCCTCCACACTTTAAGGCCTCCTGATGAATGACACCCTCATCTGTATAGAGTTAAAATGTTTTAACTTTTCACCTGGTTAATTCAGTGGAGGAGGAGGAGGAGGAGGAGGAGGAGGAGGAGCAGTAAAATAAGAAACAACGGCTGTTACCTGAACATTATTTAAAAATAGCGTTTCAGAGATGGAAAGGTGCATTTTTCCATATATACCAATGAACACACACACACATACACACACACACACACACACACACACACACACACACACACACACACACACACAACTCTCACCTTCTTTTAGATTCAATTTGGGCTGGAGATCACGTGATAGCGAGACACTCCCGCTGTCGTCATGGTAATGCGACTGACAGTAGAGGTTCTGGCCCTGCATGCAGTACAGGTTCCCCGGTATTAATGTCACATCACACTCCTGCAAAACATGTTCATCATCATAAAAATATTTACATATAAGATAAGATAGAACTTTATTTAATCAGACAGAAATGTTGCAGCACAAAGTAGGAAAGAATACAAATATAAAATATCAATAAACAAATGAAAAAACATTTAAACAAGAATAACAGTAAGGATCGTAAGCTGATTGTATCTCAAGTTGCTTCTTGATAAGGTGCACAGAGATATGTATATAAAAAAATCAGGTGAGTGTATATGGCTACTGCATAATGTTCAATGAATACGTCCATAATATTGAACATTACCTATCATTATGTCAAGTGATACAGAAGGTTGTAAGGATTGCAATCCACAGAGAGACAGTAATCCAATTTAATTTATGTTTTTTCTAATGATGACATATAAAAAATTCATCAAATTGTGTCCTAATGTTTCTGTAAATGTTTCTTATAAAAGTAAAGTACCTGGCAGGAGAAGCAGTGAGGATGGAAAGTCAGATCACCAGATCTCATGACTAAAGCGGAGGCTGGGATTGGCTGAAAGCAGCGAGCACACTGACCACCTCCAAACATCCTTAGCAGGAGGAGAAATCAAAAAGGGGTCAAAGGTCAGGAGGTATCAACAGATGCTGCAGGGGACCCACGTTTAATCCCAAAACCTGAGGAGTACAAACTGTTTAAAACTGTATTAAAGAAACAGTTGGACATTTCTATAAAAAAAACAAAACACAGAGTGGAGAGTGGTTCCTCTGACCTGCAGTAGTCTTGTTGGCAGTAGATGTTTCCATCTCTCCAGTAGAGTGAGGGGTGCGTCTGTAGCTCGCACTGACACTGGCTGCAGCGGAGGCAGACACTGTGCCACACACTGCCTGCAGCCAAGAGGAAGAAACGGTCGCACACCTGCTTCCCGCAGCCGGCACACGTTATTGGCCCCTGGATGGATACAGCTGTCGCAGTCTGAGACAGATTAACAGGCAGATTTATTTAGATGAGATAGCTGTGACAACTTGCTTTCATTATTAAGAAAATAAGAAATGAGCCTTTGCCTTGCTGGAGTGAAATAAATAATGTGAATGATCAACATGCACCAAAAGTGAAGCACATCAAACTGCTTTGAAACTTGTTTCAGTTTTGAAGTGTCAAATGAGGACACAGAGACCGGACTTTGTTTTGGTGCATTAGTCCCTTCATACTTTTACCTCGCTACATCTCAGAGGTTTGTATTGTACTGTTTACTCCTCTACATTTGTCAGACAGCTTCAGCTCAGATGACAGTTTTTTATCTCCTTTCTGTTCAGTAAAAATATGTATCTCCAGATGTGTTGATGTTGAGTGTTTGTGACAAACTGAAGGATTAAGTGTTCATTTAGGTGCTGAGAAAATCCTCCTCTATCTTAAGCTAAGTTAACTTTTTAAAAACCTTATTGGATCAGCTGAAATGACCTCATTGAAAGGGTCTTTATAAACCGGTTAAAATGAGGTCAACCTTAAATATTTACAGCAGTTAAATGACACATACACATTATTGCAGCAGTAATATTAATCCAAAAACATCAGACAGAAAAGGAAAACAATGACTGCACTATAAGTACTTCTGGAGCATTTTGCTGATAAATACTTGTACTTGTATTCTTGAATGCAGGACTTTTACTTGTCGTTGAGTATTTTCACAGTGGCACTTGTACTTCAGTAAAGGATCTGAATACTTTCCCCACCACTGTTATGCTCACATTGTCTGCAGCAGCACTCTCCACCGTCCCTGCCGGGCCTCCACCGAGCTCCGCCTCGTCACCAAGGTCACCGCAATACAACAGGTCCTCCAGGGCTCGGTCGTCTGGTGACATCATGATTGTCCTGAGAAGGTAGAGAGGGTAATAACCTGTCCACTTGGTAATCACAGCCCTCATTAGAGAGCTATAAACAGACTCACTAAGTGTCTCTATTAATAAACAACAACAACACCACAGACACCCAGAGACAAAAACATGTAACACAGCTGTTCTCTCTGTGTGAAATGTAAACACTGTTTTCATTTTTGGGTGTTGGTTCCTTTTCATCCAGTATGTATGAAAACTATACAGGTTCAATCTATTATCTATCTATCCAGCCAGCCAGGCTTTTCATTAAGAATGGTGTATAGACATTATTTACATTGTTTTATTCACTTACTTTATTGTTTTTCTGTTATAAAATTTTATTTGATCAATTTTATTATTATTTATCTTACTATATAATGACGAAAACTCTGTGTGTCTGTTCCACGTTTTTTCTCCTGACTGACTTGGTCAATCCATGTGAAATTTGGCACAGTGGTAGAGGGTCATGGGAGGATGCGAATGAAGCAATATTACATCAATTGGCCTAAGGGGGGCGCTATAGCAACCGATTGAAATTGCAAACTTTGAATGGACATATCTCATGCCCCGTATGTCGTAGAGACATGAAACTTTGCACAGAGATGCCTCTCCTCATGAGGAACAAATCTGCCTCAAGAACCCATAACTTCCGGTTATATAGATTTTCCGCCATTTTAAATGTTTTGAAAAACACTTAAAATCGATCTCTTCCTAGGAAGTTTGACTGATCTGCATGAAACTCAGTGAACATAATCTAGGGACCAATATCTAAAGTTCCCTCTAGGCAAAAGTTGGAAAACTTACTAAAACTGAGCTTCTATAAGGCAATGAATATTGCGGAGGGCGTGGCTCATCACATAAAGGTGTATAACATCTCAAGGGTTTCACCGATCACCACGCAACTTTGTAGGCATATGACCACACATAATCTGAGGGGACCCCTCCATTATTGACCCCATCAAACAAAATGGGGGCGCTAGAGAGCTAATTTCTTATCTAGGCCAAACCGCCATATTGATTTTTACTAAACTTGGTAGATATAAAGAAAAGGACGCCTCAAGGTGTCTGGAGAAATTTAACTCTAATTGGCAACTGGGTGGCGCTATAACAACAGAAAATTGCTTAAAAATGGCTAAAATGCGACCGATCACTGTGGCTCCCCCTGTGGCCCAATGTTTGTTTTGTTTTCTAATTTTTGGTATGACTAAGTCATGGTATGGTATGCTGTACATAATCACGGAAACTGTCATTCTGTCAGTCCCATGTTTTTCTACTCACTGACGTGGTCAATCTATGTGAACCTGCACATAGGCATTGAGGATTGGCATAGCTAGAAAGTGACAAAGCTACCAATGCGTATGGACTAGTATTATTATATATTATTTATCACTTTCTGATTTTATTTGTCTTTTTAATCTATTATTTTTATCGAGTAATTAGTCTTGCTTTTATTTAACTTTAATATTATTCTCGCTTTTAAATCTATGTCATGAAATTGTAATCTATTTTATTCTAATAATTTATCATTATTATTATTAATATTATTATATATATTTTTATCCCTCTTCTAGATTTCATTTCTTTGTTTTGTTATTATCTATATTTTAGTCAAACTTTTACTTAATTTTGTTTTTATTATAGCTTTTAAAGGGGAACTAAACCCCCCTCTCTGGGCATTACTCAGCCCACAGCTTGATTTAAAAAAATTCAGAAAAGATAAGCGGAACTGAGGGAGGGGGTGGGGGGTGGGGGAGACAGGCAAGCGGCTGAGGAAGGGGGGCGGAGTGAAGATTGTCCCTCGCTGGGGGGAGAGAGGTCCCTCTCCTCCACACTTCGACTTATTTTCATTGTGCCGATGGTGGCTTGGAAAACCGCCCCTAACTGTGTCACACGGGCAGAAGGGAAGGCGGCCGGAGCTCGGCCTCTTTCCCCCTGTTCACCCTTCTCCCCATTTTCACACTTAGACTTTTCTTCACCCTGCCGACAGTGGAGCTTATATTCATTGTGCCGATGGTGGCTTGGAAAACCGCCCCTAACTGTGTCACACGGGCAGAAGGGAAGCGGCCGGAGCTCAGTCGGTCCCCTTCTCCACACTTTGACTTATTTTGTCCTACTTGGTTCTATTTCTCCCTCTCTGGGAGCCTGGGCTCACTGCGCAGCAGCCCACCGCATCCATCCACCCCTCCCTCCCTCGCAGCCCTGCACATATACTCCCGAGCCTTGGCGCCTCTGCTTGACCAACTAACCTAAAGATGTTGAGAGTCAAGATTTTGAGCAGGATCAGTCAGTAACACTACTATACAACCAGAAACAATGATTATCTGCTGAAAAAAATGGTTTTAGGGTTTAGTTACTCTTTAAATATGTATGTTGTAAAATGTTATTATAGCTATTTTATCGATTTTTTTTTAATCATTATGAATATATATTTATTTATTCCTCTTATCAATTTTATTTGTTATTGATCTGTCTTAAATATAATTTACGATCTAGTTTTTGGTCTAGCTTTTATGTACCTGTATCGTTATTGTTGGTATTATTGATTTAGCTTTTAAATCTATTTTACCGTCATCGTTTTTATTGTTTTGTCTTTGTAATCTATTTTATCTCGTTGTCAGTCATCTGTGAAGGACTTTGAATTGCGCTAACCTGTGTTAAAGGTGCTATACAAATAAAAATTGACTGATGGATTTACAAACTGTAGGCCAGATGTTCACAACAAATCAAATTCCTCCTCTTTTTCTTGACGTCAAATCTGAGGACTTTTCAATGACTATCAATTTCCAATGGTGAAATTAATGGATGAATGAAGTACAAGTGTGCAGTTAGTCCATACAGAGTCACATCATTCACTATTTTTATCCAGGTAGGATGATGAGTAAAAGCTTACCTTGTCTCTTGTTGGGAGACTCCTAGTTGGTTTCCACTGAGCAGCTCCGTACGAACCCTTCAGACGATGCCAGAAGATCTCACCTGCACCGTGAAGTCCTGTGGGAGAAACAAACTTCTGGTGGTTCTCCTGAATGTTTCCTTTATCCTCTTGATCTTTGGCAGATTTTTCTCCCCGCCAGTCGCCAACCTCTCACTACTCCAGGTGTCTCTGCAGCCTCCTGTCTTGTGGTTTTGGGATCAGTTTCCACTCTGTGAGCGCTGACCTGAGATCTGCTTCCACCCCATCCTCCACCAATTACAGTCACAGCTTCTGAACTGACAGCAGGATAAAAAGCACCTGTCCCTCCGGCCTGTCCCAGGTGGCATCCCGCCACTCCTGTAAACAAAACGTCCAGGTGGCTCAGAGAGCAGGTAGAGACTGATCTGATTGGCCACCCGGTGAGCAGATGGGTGGGCTGCCCCCCCCCCGGGACCAATTAAAAGGGTGTTTAAAAGGACGTCTGGGATATGCATTCAAGCATGAAAAGACAACGGCAAGAGGCCTACTTTTCCCTCGATCCCTCGGCTGCATTTGGACCAAGCTGGTTTCTTCTATGTGACTGTTTCTCCTGTTAAACACAGAGAGGCAACATGAGATTAAATCTTTGCTTGTGTCCAAAATGAGACTTTAGAAATAGAATAAAACAAATCTGCCTGTTTATTCAAAGTAAACTGTTTTCATTCACATGCAGGAAGACCGTTAGAAGCACTACAAATCAATAGAGTGAGCAGAGGAACATGATATTTTTCATAAATTATCTGCTTCATTTAGTGCTGTGTGAATATAGTGACAGTTTCAGCAAATATGAAAAAATATATTTTTTAATAAAAATGAACAACTACAGCTTTAAAGTGTGCAAAAGTCTAATTAGGGTGGATGGAATGAGAAGTGGATGGGTACAAGATGCACAGGACTTTGACTATCTGTTGCAGTGTTTGTGCCACTACAGCTGGGAGGTTTTTTAGCGACATCTGTGAGTTATACCCAACCATAACCAAATCGTTTTCTTGCCTAAACATAACTGCAAACCCCATTCTGCAACAAGATACAGAGCAAAAGGCGGCCCCCTGATATCATTATGGTAACGCTGGGGCTTCTGCCCAAGTGTCAAAAAATGACGAGATGGGATAAGATGACACTGTGAGGAAACGTAGTAACCCTATGGTAGTAACCCAAAAATCTGTAAATAATGAACATAATTGGTCTCCCAACTTTGCAAAATTATAGCCTCTCAAGCTCCGGACATTAACCCATCCCGGTGTTTCCTCCGCAGCCTCCACTTCACCCAGCTTCACTCAGCTGCCAGATAAACCCGCTGCTTCTTCCCACTTTAACCTGAAGCGATGTTTTAGCCTAGTGGGCAGCCCACGAACCAGCTGCCCGCTAGGCTAAAACATCGCTCTCACTCGTGGAGAAGAGGGGGAACGTTAGCGTTAGCTCCCGGTGTTAGCACTAGCTGAGTCGGCTGCCACCGGCTACTGGAGTAACTTAACAGCTATGGAGCGCTTCTACCAGCTCCTCTAGTCACTGAGCCTCGCCTCCATCTAAGCAAATACATTACATTTATTACAGGTACCATCATCATTGAAGTAGGCAGGGGAATAGCTAAACACAGCAGAGACCGAGGCATCGCTAACTGCTAGACGAGGCGAGTGGGGGATGGGGGGTGGAGAGCAGAGGTAGAGGGTGGAGTGGCTCATGACACACTCTGTTTTGGTCTACAGGCAGTGCACAACAGCAAACCTAGCGGTGAAACGATTTCGCTTTTTGCCCCTTTAAACATATGAAATAATGAACTTCCATATCTGCTCTTTGTCCATGTGATCAAACATTAAGATGGTGACAGCTGTAGCACAATGACTCAAGACATAAGACACAATGATTACACTGACAAAAACTAGACCAGAAAGTTTTTTTTCGAGTAACTACTAACAAGAACACAACAACTAAGCTAACAAAAATGAAACAACTAAAACTGGAATAACATGAATGATTTTTTAAGGCTAAAAGACAGCACTGGAAGGGCTTCATCCTCTAATGACAGGATAACAGTCTCTGAATGTCTAAATTGAATATGAAGTACCTTTAAATTGTTCAACAGTCTGACATGTTTCTCAAACTTCTACTGCTGTTTATTTTTGGTGAAAACAGTGGTTGATAATGCAAGAGTCTGTAAAAACAACAAGTACAAGAGGCATAAACATTTTTTTCTGATTATGACAGCAGCCTCACCTAAAACATTGCTCCGTCTCAGGAACCTGGGTGTTGAACTTGGGGACTCCGGGATTGACTGTGGGGGCCATGTTTAAGGAGTGTGTCCTTTGGCTGGCTGGCAGTTTAATCGTGAGGCGTCTTCTCCAGCACAAAGGCCAAAACCACAGGAGGAAACACAGTAGGGGGAAGCTCTGACTGTGAAACTGGAAGGACATAATGTGTATTGACAATCAAAAACCAACCTGCAAGTTGTCTTGTGTGAATACTCATGCTGTTTACTGGCTTGCAGTAGTGGAAGGTAACTATAGGCTACTTCAGTACAGCTGAGAGGTATACTTTACTAGAGTATTTCCATTTGATGCTACTTTATGTCACAGGGAAAAAAATTACTCTTTAATTCACTACATTAAATTGACAACTTAGTGACTCGTTACTTTGATTATTAACACAAAATACTATCAACTAATAAATTATGATGTATTATTATAGAGCCTGTAAACCACCCAGTGCAGCTGCATCGAAGTGATGCCTCACACATAAATGCACCTCTATTTGCAGTCCAATAATATACATTATTGTGAAATGGGACATCACACCACTACTTTTACTTTGGGAACATCATGCTAATGCTTATGTAGCCTGCTTTTACTTAACATTTTGATTGCTGTAGAATGCTGCTTTCACAATAATGCACCATCTTATGATGTTAGCAGACATACTGCTGTCACTGTGGATACTTCTGAGTATATTTTGTGATAATACTTGTGTACATTGGGATAGGATTACCTTCAAGCTAAAGCTTGATGTAGCTGCATGCTGGCACTTTAATAAGCCACCTTGACGTCACCCATTAGTTTGTGGACTGCCGTTTTGACACCTCGAGTTTGGCATTTTGGCCGTCGCCATCTTGGATTTCAGGAGCAAGACATGGGCAGATCTGTGGAGGAGTGAGGGGGACACTCTGCACACCCACCTACACCGGCAACACGACTGAACTGAGCGCTGCACAAGGCTTGCCATGCTAAGTCGCCGCTAACAAAGTTAGCTTCCATAATTCGTGGCAACTTTAGAGGTAAGTATTAAAGTAACGTTAGCTAATTGCATACATGTCTACATTTGGCAAATATTACATTTAAGAGGAGTAACGTTATTGTTATTGTAGCGTTAACGTTAGCTGAAGTTAACATTACCATGTGTAAGTTAATGTTAAGGTGTAAGTTCTTTGGTGAAGGTCAGTGTTTGTAGGCATTTTTTGCATGCAGGTCCTGTTCATTTCAGTATGAATGACAGTCATCAAACATCTGTTGGAATGATTCTTTCTTTCTTTTTCAGAAAAGGTAACAACACTAAACCAGCCACCCTGCTCCTCTGACAAGTAAAGAACAGTCCCTAAAGTGCGCTGAGGTTTGTGGACCGTTACCTGCCACAAAGAGTAATGTGAACACTCGTTTCTCCTCTGACACGCCACATACCTGTGTGCCGCCACGGCTCGGCTGTTCAGGTAGCCTACTTCTAGACAGTCATGACACCAACAAAGAGGAAAATATTGGACCTGGAGCCAGGCTTCTCCGTCGCCGGTAAGCCGTTATCTTGTGCCGGAAACCCTATTTAGTAAATAGGGTTGCAAAATAGCTAATGGTTATTAACTCCATGTGTTGGCTGCTAGCATAATGTTACAAACCTGGACTGGACGTAAATGAATTAGCTGTGCTAGGACAGTCAAACCCTGTACGTCTGAATATGATGCACTTTCGCAAGGTGTTTTGACAAATTACTAGTGTTGCTGCCCTTACACGCAAAACATTTGTCACACTTGTGACAGCGCGCTGTGTCTGCATCAACTCTTGTAATGTAAAGCCACACTTTTGACCGTTTGGCTCTCTCCGTCATCGTTATCTATCTAAAGGTAGACCACCAGCTTGAGTTGGTGTATGCGCTGTCTTGTGTGCGTGTGTCACTGGAACAACAGCCCCGCCCCCCTGCTCTCCACTCACACACAGCAAGCAGCCAGGGTGAGCGTCTCGTCTTCAGGGAGAATAGCGAAAATTATGATACAATGACGGATAATTGACGGAGTTGGTGAGATAATTGTGCAAGATAACGTTTATCTTGTAAAAAAAAAAAACAACAACAACAAAAAATAAAATAAAATAAAATATCGTTCAATACCGGAGTTCAGTACCCATCCCTAATCCAGAGAGGAATTGGTCAAGGACATTGATGGGGCGCAGGTGTCTGAGGCCCAGATTTTTTCGGGATGGAACTCTACAGTTGTGGTGTTAACTTTTCAGGAAGAGGGTCTCCCTGAGCGAGTATTGTTAGGGTGCTTGTCCTTCTGCATGCAGAGGAGTTAGGAGATGTGGAAAGTGTGGGGGTGAGCACGAGATCTCTGATCGTAAGGAGAAGGATGTTAAATGTGGTACGTGTGGTGGAGGGCACATTGCTGGAAGTCGTGAGTGTGAGCAGTACAAGCAGGCAGCAAGAGTGCAGCAATATAGGGAATTAAATAAAGGAGTGTCTTATGCTGAGGCTGTCAAGCAAGTAGCAAAGTGTGGTGAGGAAGGTGAAGTGAGGAGGAGAGAAGGAGGAGGCCCCTCTATTGTAAACTGTGGAACTGATGATTCAGTGGTGGTGAGTAGGGCAGTGTCATGTATACATTTAACCTTTGCATCAGGTGAGTTAGCAAGGTGTGACCAATGGGATCTCATGGATCGGTACACAATGGAGAGCGATCACTTCCCCATATTAAGTCGATGTGGGTAAGGGAGAGTGATGTGAGGGGGCTTAACCTACATAAAGCAGAGTGGGACAAGTTTTGAGAGATGCTCTTGACAGACTTGGGAGATGTCGGAAGTGAGGGTGGTGTAGAGGAATGGAGCGACTCTTTGTGCTCTGTAGTGAGAAGAGCGGCAGAAAAGTCGAGCCCAAATAAGGGGAACAGGAAAGAGAGGAAATAGGTACCGTGGTGGAATAAGGCTTGCACTGAGGCAGTGCGGGCTCGCAATAGAGCGTACAGACAGCTTAGGAGAAGCCCCTGCGAGCAGTGTGCTATTGAGTATGAGAGGCTGTGGGCAGAGGCCAAGAAGGTTATTAAAGGGGCCAAGAAGGAAGGTTTGCATAGGTTTTGTGGCACCTTAGGTATAGAAACTACTGTCAAGCAAGTGTGGAATATGATTCACAGAATGGCTGGGATCAATAGGAGTCTGCCTTTTCCTGTCCTGGTGGAGGGAAATTCAGAGGTTGTGAGCAACAGGGGGAAAGCTGACCTGTTAGTAAGGACGTTTCAAAGGGTGCACAGTACCAGCAATCTGGTGGCAGTAAAACAGCTGAGGAGGAGGGAAATGCTTGAGGAGGAGAGGCACAAGCTTGAAAGAAATGCAGGTATCAGTGATGGGATCAATGTATTTTCTCTATGCAAGAGTTGAAGGGTGCAGTAGGGTGAGGACGTAACACTGCTCCTGGGTGGGATGGTCTGGGGTATGAGATCTTTAAGCACATGGATGATCTGGCTCTGGAGGAGATGCTAGCTTTGATAAATACAGTGTGGGACCAAGGACATCTCCCTGTTGAGTGGAAACATGCAGTGATTATTCTGATCTTAAAACCTGGGAAGGACGCAGGCTGCCCTGGTTCTTATAGGCCAATCGCCCTCACAGCAGTCATGTGTAAGATTATGGAAAGAATGGTTACTGACTGGCTTGTGCATAAGTTAGAGCAGAGGGGGTATTTTTCGCCATTTCAAAGTGGGTTTAGACTTGGTTTTGCAAAGATGGACTCAGTTCTGGAGCTAGATAGAGATGCCAAGAGAGAGCTTTAGTAAATAAGGAGGTGGTCTTCCTAGCTATAGAGAGGGCATATGATGTGCTGTGGAAAGAGGGCTTGGTAATTAAAGCTATGGTCTACATTTAGAAAGATTGATCATTATTATTAACATCATTTAGATAGTGGTTATGGCCCAATAATGCTAGCTACACAATGTGAAGAGCAAAAGGAACCAAAAAAATCCATTCTCTCTGGCGGCTGCAGGCCAGCAAAGAAATTGAGCAATCACAGCCATCCGGTCCGCATGGGAGTTACTCCTTGCTCAAATTTGCACTCTCTCTCTCTTACCCCCTGTCCAATCCCCTCGTTCCATTTCTACACTCCTCTGCTCCTCTTCCCAACCCCCCTCCACATTTGAAAGTATGAGCGGTTTGTAAGGACCTGAGCGATTCAGCTACACGAGTTTCAATATGGAAAATAAAGAGAGCGACAGCAGCAAGCGGTCTCTGCTTGCCCCACCAGCAAAGGCCAAAAGGAAGCGTAAGGCAGAAACGAAGAGGAAATGCGACAAATTGCGGGCTCAAAGCAGAGTAAACATCGGGTCATCCTTTGACCATCCTTTGTACAAGGCAGGGATTCGGGGCAGGATGCTGAACTGGGTCAAAGACTTTTTGAGATCCAGGTCCATACAGGTAAGAGTGGGGGGCAGTGTGTCTGACCCACAGGGCAGTGTGATCAGCCCTGTCCTCTTCAATATAATGGTAAATGATGAAGTTGGAGACAGGTTTGGTAGAGTGCTTTTTGCTGATGATGGAGCAATATGGAAAAGGGGCCACAATGTTGGGTATCTGATGAAGCAGATGCAGAGTGCCTTGGATGAGGTGCAAGCTTGGGCTGATAAGTGGGGGTTCAGGTTGTCTGTGGAGAAGACGAAATATGTTGTTTTTGGCAGAAAGAGTACAGAATCAGGGGCTTAAGGTAGAGCCTCTGGAAAGAGTCAAGGTCTTTAAAGGTTTTTTAATCCACAAAACTTGTTCGGGGTAACGGAGGATAACAGCCAGCCGGATTTTTCCATTAACTTGAAGTGCATGAAACCCATTTTGAAAATGTAATAAAACTCCACTAATGCATTTCAAAAATGTCAGAACGGCTCGTCCGTCGTAATCCAAGTGCCCTGAAGCCGTGGCATGCAAAATTGACTTTAACTTTAACTTTTATATAGGCTACTGTATTGAGAAGGGATGCTGTTCTAAACATTATTATTACTTTTAATATAATTATCAAATACATTTGACCATGCCGGTTCCATTTATGTGTTACAACAGTAAAATTGACTGCAACCTTGTTGCCCCCCCCCTCCTTTTGAGAAATATTTCTGTTTATTGTCCCCCCCAACAATGAAATGGAATTTCCGCCCTTGCTTGTACGCTGCCAATATCAAGGCCCATCTCTGAATCCTGGCTGCCGCAAACAATGGGATGGCTTTGCTCTCTCCCAAGAGACCTGGCAATGGTTTGTGGTCAGTCACAGTAGTGCAATGTTTGCCAAACAGGTATTGGTGGAATATTTTTAAGGACGAAAATTATGGTTAGTGCATCTTTCTCAAATTGAGAATAACCCCGTTCTGCTGATGACAATGATTGTGACATGTAGCCGATTGGTTTGTTCGTGCCATCTGGAAAATGCTCCTACACTATAAGGTGATGTATTACAGGACATATAAGAGACTTTGTGTCATCAAAGTGCACTAGCAATTGCTCTGACTGCAGGCATGTTTTGGCTTTAAATGCCTGGCTCTGACGTTTCCCCCATCTCCACGGGGCTCCCTTTCTCAAAAGCTCATGTAGCGGCTCCAGCATGGTGGAGACGTTGGGCAGGAACCTGCAGGAATAATTGTGCATACCCAGGAAGGATTTCAACTGTGTCTGATTGGTTGGCACTGGTGCGTTTACCAGAGCCTTGTCAGTGACTGGATGGATTCCCTTGTGGTTGATTTGATAACCCAGCTACACCACCTCTGATGCCATGAAGACGCACTTGTCTCTACTCTGACAAAGCCCTGCTGCTGAGAGTCTCCCCAGTACTGCCCCCAGGTTCTGCAGATGGAATGTATCGTCATTTCCAGTCACCACAACGTCATCCACTCTGACCACTACTTGGGGAAGGTTATCCATGGTGCGCTGAAATATGCTTGGGGCCGATGACACCCTGTAAGGCAGCCTGGTGTACTGGTGCAGGCTGCGGTGTGTGCATATGGTGGTGAACTTCCTGGATTGTTCATCCAATGGGAGCTGCTGGTAGGCCTGAGACATGCCCAATTTTGTACAGCCAACAAATCCCCCTCCACAGCTAATTGCTGCAGCTCTGCTACATTCTTAGCCACGGTTTCCATTGATGTTACTAGCCAGAGTCAGTATCTTATCAGATTCTGACAACTCTGACATCTTAGGATGCGGTCATCATTATTGCCGCACACTAATCTGTCCCTCAGCAACGTCACCTGGTACAGTAGCTTCTAACTCTGCATAACGTCTGCTTAACATTAGGTTAACGTATCTAAGTACTTTGATTGAAATTAGCTCCACCTTTACAGCTGCAACATATAAAAATAAACACATTAATAATTATGATTAAATACCGCAATATGTATATTATTCTGAAATCGACCATTTCGCACAATTCATACTTGTGCTTCGAGTTCTTTTGAGTATATGTTTACACTGAGTGTATCTGTTTGCACTTGAGTACAAATTTGAATGCAGGACTTATTGGAGAGCATTGGAGAGATCAAATACTTCCACCACTTCAGAGAATGTCAGGTTCATGTCAAACGTTAATGTTTTAGATGGGGCGCCATCTTGTGAGGGCGCGTTGTCATAACAGAGTATGTACCTCAAAGATGGTGCCCCCATCTCACACACAGGATGTACTTTCCTCCAAAATATTTAATGCTATGTAGTCCTAGCAGCCTAATATGCAGCTTTCAATTTAATCATCATATACTTTCTGGAGAGCAACTTAAAAAGTGAAATAGAAAATGAAGAAATCACAGAGGAACCAACAAAACTCTCCATCACTCAACTGCTTGTTTCCAGGGTTTTAATAATAGTTTGTGTACTGAAGGTGCATCTGATAAATAAGATATTATGACTAAATCTACTAGCCTATTACATTTCACCTAATACTACATCTTATGCCTCATTCTGCACTATACTGTTATGTTACACTGTCTTGTCACATAATTTATTATAGTTCTATTTTTAATATTAATATAAATACAGATAACACTAAGTATCATTACATTATCACAGATATTATTCTGGTGTATACCTTTTACATTGATAGTATACTCACTGCTACTTACCCGTTGAGGCCCACATCTATTTGAAACTTACCAGTTGTACCCATTCCTGATTAAATGTAGACAAACACTGTATATCCCAGCACCTTAAACCATAAACTGTATCATAGCAAACACTTTTGGTGGGAAAATGGTAATACTGTAAGACATAGTCTACCTCATTCCAAGTTCAAGTAACATACAGTCTTCCACTGACCCCCCAGCTGTCTTTTGGACCTGTTTCACCATTTTTCCAAAAGTGGTGAAATTAAAGTATTTAAAGTAAATAAAAAGAATACATATGATTGAGTGGGATTTTTTTTTTGAATGTTGGAAAACCACAACAAGTGATTTGAAAGGCCTCACTTATTCACAAAAAAAGACCCCATCACTAAGCCATGACATGACCCTGCTCAGTTTCTTCATATGTAAATATGAAAAAAACAATGACCAATGTCATAAATATTAAAAATTTTCAAGACCACCACTTACAAGACCACCACTTACACTTGCACTTACTGTGCAGAAATGTATAAAAGCATTGGTTTTCATGTCAGTTTCATGTCAATAAAATACATTTTTTGGATATATCATAAAATTATTGTTGCCTCGGTCTATAGACTTTGTCAGCATTATTGGTGACAGTTGCAAGCAATTGCAATTTTTTAACGTTTTTACAAAATTCTCATGTGTTGTGTGTGTGTGTGTGTTTGTGTGTGTGAAAAAATCAATGCTCGCATTACAGAGGGTTAATCATACCATGTCACTTTACCTCATAACTTTGTCCTTAACTGCTCTTTTATAGTTTTTGTTTACTTCTATTCTTATGCTAGTTGTACATAACTCTTATTTTATTTATTCTTATTTTTTACTTTGCTATTTATCTGTTCTTATTCCTGTCTATGTGCTGCCATAACACCTGAATTTCCCCTCCCCCTCATCATATCTACTATATCTTGTAGCAAACAGCAGGTGGTGCTGTTGAACTATAAAGCAGAGCTGAATTATGAGGAGCTTAATCCACAGGCTTCAAATAGCAAACCAGATCCTTTGTTTGGTTTTATTTCAGATGAACTCAATCAGAAATACATTCTTGGAGAACTTGTCACGTTGAAAAAACAAACAAACCTGTAAATCCTCCCCTTTTTAAGTCCCACAGGATGAAGTCAACCATACATCAAGCTCAAAACAATCATTTATTTCCTGGATAGTAAACATTCTGGAGACAAGGTTTCTGCTTGACCAGCACCAAATGATACAATAATGATTCTATATTTTACTGCATGTTTAACTCTTTGGTGACCGGCTTATTTACATCAAAAACAATGAAAAAGTTGCTGTTTTCGTCCATTAAACTTGACAAAAAAGGTTAAAGTGCTGCAAACATCAGCTACATGTACACCTGTAAAGTGATTCTGCATTATATGTGAAGTTTCAGGTGTCTCAGAATATTGCATGGGTTGATGGGGAGGTGGTTTTGTAATGTGGGTGAACTGACCCTTTAAATATAGAGGAGCTAGGAGCAGCCCTGCTTTAAAAAGATGCTTAAAAACTGTACAATCTACAGTAACATACTGATAACTGACCTCTATACACATGAAAAAATACGTCTTCATCTCCTCAGAAGTGAGAGCAAGGCTCCCTGTTCAAAATTATTGTGTGTTTGAATGCATGTGTGTGTTCAAGTGTGTGTGTTTGTGTGTCTGCACATGTATGTACACATTGCTGTCCATCCTGCATTGTGTGTTTAGCAGTTCATTATCCTCTGTTTCATCCTCATCCTCTGAAGGCTGCTGGTCTCATCTTCATCTCAGTGAATGGGATGGAAAAATCTTTTCCTCTCCAGGTGGTCCAGATTACACCCTGACACACACACACACACACACACACACACACAGAAAGTCACACTGATGTCAGACAGGATACTAAATGTGTGTTCATACGTACAGAAAATTATGTTTTCTTTAGCGTATAATCACCTGAAATAAAGAATTGTTGTGTTTATAATGAGCCGTTAAAATCTATACAGGGACCAGGTTCTCGTCTATGAAGAACACCATTAAGTGTTAAACATTTAGAGGGACTAGCGGTGAATTGCAGACTGCAGCCAGCTAAAACTTCTAATTTCTTCAGTGTTTATTGTTCAGGAGGTTTTTACCAGGAGGTGAAGTATCAGCAGAGGTCTCTTCCTCTCCAAAACAAACTAACGCAGTGATTTAAACTGGTAAAAACACAGAATAACACTATTTCACGTTACAAATCAATGTGTTTCTGAGAGTTTGGCATGTCACTGCAGGCAGCTAGTCCAGCACCTACTAAAGTGTGGTCACCTTTTTTTATCTGATAACTTAAGATCCAGACGTTTAGGAGGTTTTCTACCAGGAGCTGAATTATCAACAGAGGTCTCTTCTTTTCCAAAACAAACAGACGAGCTGATTGAAACTGGTAAAAACAATGAATTAAGCAGTTTCATGTTACAAATCAGTGTTTCACGCTACACAGAGAGTAACATTGTAAAGTAACATTACTTTTAAAAGAAGGTAACTAGTAATATGTAATATATTTAATTTTGAGAGTAACTTGCCCAAAACTGGCTATGTAAAGATAAATGTCTCATTCTAAGGTAAGGAGGACACAACAATTCTTATTTTCCGGTGATTACACACTAAAGACAACACACTTATATTCTACTCCTGCCAATATATCCTCCTAATGTTAATCTATTTGTAATGTCTTAAAGTTCCACCCTGATAGGGTAAATCACGACGAAAGTTTGTCCAATTAAACAAACAAACAAAAAAAAACAAATACATATTTGATACAATTCTAAACGTTCTGTTTATTTGTATAAGTTAGCTAGCTAAATCTGGGTTACTCACAGAGCTAAGGCTAACTTAGCTCAGAAATTTTCACCCTGTTATATCAATATTAACTAATCCATGCTGAGACTAGTCAGTACTTTTTCTGACGGTTAAACATGCCACTATTCTATATAACGCAAAAATCATTGAAAATTAAAATACAACACACCAAAGTTTGATTAACTGAATGCAAATATCCATCACTTCAGTAGTAACATGTAATTTATGTGTATTTAACTGAACAGGCCTGTGTGACAACGTTACCTGGTGTTTGACGCTGATGCCGTAGAGGCCGTTGAGGTTCGCTTCATGGCAGTTCTTGTACCACCAGCCTCCTCGGTACGACATGGCACAGCGTGTGATGAAGGGCGCCAGGTCCCGGTCTTTGGTGGAGAAAATCCGCTGGTTGTGATAACTGAGAGAGTCACCTGAGACCATGAACAGTAGAGGAGACACGAAGATGAGAGGTGTGTTTAAAGAACAAAAGTCCAGAGTGGCTTGTTTTTCCCTTAGTTTTTCCCTTAAAAGATGTCAAGCCCTCGTTTCCTCTCACCTGCAGTGCCGCTGTATCCACCCACAGTCAGTTTGTAGTTCCTCTTTGCCACCTCAAATGTCGAGTATTTGGCATACACTGCATCATTTTTGTCTCGCAGGTCAACACGCAGAGTCATCCTGGTCATCGCTGTCAGGTTGTGGAGGGCCTCGAGGCCTGAAGAAGTTAATCAGTTTAGTCTAAAAAACATGTCTTCCTGTTTGGAATGAATTGGTTTAATATTGACTGACTTTTTTTTTTTCTTTGGAATAAGAAGAAGTAAAACACTAAAATAAAAGCATGGATTATGTTGTAGCACCAAACAATATGTCCACATTTTCTGCTACCTGGCTGATGAGCCTGTTAACTTTCAACCCCTCTTTTTTTGGACAGTAATTGTGCTGTGAACACAACAGTGACTGTATATTCTCAAAATGTTTCAGCATGATGACGATTCTCTCACCGAGCCAAAACTCTCCGCTCAGACTCCCAAATCCTTTAGTGTAGTCCTTCCACCCTCTGAAGAAATTCTCAGAGCCGTCCTTCCTTCTCTGGAAGACCTGCAGACAGAGAACACATGGACCAGGTTCCTCACAGAAAAACCTTAAAAAAACCTGAGACTGGGACCACATAGTCAACCCAATCTTCAGAATTAATGTTAGCATTGTACCTTTCTGCAAATCACGGTGATGTTACATTTGTACATTATTCTGTAGCAGATTTGATAAAACTTTACATTTCAACAATGCTGTGGTAAATGTAAGGCACAAAAATACTTGCCTACCAGCTGACTTTGAGTGAGAGGCAAGGTACACCCTGGACAAGTTGCCAGACTATCACAGGGCTGACACATGGAGACAGACAACCATTCATGCCCACATTCACACCTATGGGCAATTTAGAGTCACCAATTAACCTATCCCCCACCTGCATGTCTTCAGACTGTGGGAGGAAGCTGGAGAACCCGGAGAACGCCCATGCTGAATTTAGGAGAACATGCAAACTCCACACAGAAGGGCTCCCCCACTCCGGGAGTTTGAACAAGGAACCCTCTTGCTGTGAGGTGACAATGCTAACCACTGTACCACCATGCCAACAACTTCAATAAAGTATAATAAGTAAAATTTAGTTAAGTAACTAGTGGGCGTTCGTGTCAAATTTAAAGTACATTTGCTTTAATGTTTTAAAGCCTGTTTTTTCACTAAAACAAAATAGTGTCATGATTATTACAGTAAACCATAGCTGTTAAATGCACAGTGCTAACCAAGCTAGCAGCTAGGGTTAGTGTTAGCTCCATCCTCTTGTCTAATTAGGGTGTTCTGGCTCTAAAATGTCAAGATGGCGATGGCAAAAATGCTAAACTCAAGGCTTGAAAACAAGAGTCAGCAAACCAATGGGTGACCTCATGGTGGCTATGTCCATTATTTTATACAACCTATGGTATTGTCCACACAACCATCCAAACCTCAACATTACTATTAGTACATTAAAATCATTAACATTAATAACATTATTAAAAGGAAAAGCAGCAAATCTTCACAAACAATTTCCCCCCGGGGATTAATAAAGTATTCTGAATCTGAATCTGAACTAAAGCTGTGAGATGAGTGTAGTAGATCAAAAAGAACAATATTTCCCTCTGTAACAGGAGAAGTAGAGGGTGGTATGAGTAAAAGTAAGCCAAAATATGAATACATCAAATTTGTACTTGAGTGCAGTACTGACGTATATGTACTCAGTAACATTCCTTCACTGCAATTAATTGTCTGTCAGTGATTTCACTGTACCGTCCAGCCTCCTCCGTCTGTCTCCATGTCGCAGAAAACCATCATCGGTGTCCCAAGTTTCCCTTGTGGGAAGATTTCCACTTCGCCCGATGTCCGGATGCCATTCAGCAGCTCCTGAGAGCAGTCTGCGGGGAAGGGGAACCTCAGGGTGCCTGAGGAAGAGGAAGGAGTAGGAAGTGGGACTTAAACTCTTCATCAGTTAATCTCCATGACACAGTAATATAATCTGGTGGAAGCTGTTACTGGTGGTGAAGTCAGTGGAGATGGCGGAAGTGTATCGGCCTCCTCCCTCTGCCTGCAGCTGCACTGTGTACTTCGAGCCGGGATGAAGTTTCGTCAGGTTGTACTCTGTTAGTGAGGCGTCCACAATAACTTCCTGTGAGGGAGAAGAAGCACAAAGATGAGAGATGGTCAACAGTTGTTAAACCCAACTGAGACATATAAAAAACATTATATATGTAGATACATATTCTATTCTATTCTATTCTATAAAATACATAAAACTAGCCCAGTATCTAGCAGTAACATTGATGCATCAGTATTAAAATTTACTATAATATATAAGGATATGTCAGTCACATTCTGCAGCAAAACTTTTTACTTTAAGTATATTTTTCCAAAACAAAGACTGGTGCCCCTTGTCACCAGTCCTGTTTGATATATTCATTGACAGGATCTCGAGGCACAGACAGAGGGAGGACCTCAGAGTTGCATGTCTGCTTTTTGCAGATGATGTGGTTCTGTTGGCTTCATCACACTGTGACCTCCAGCATGCACTGGGGTGGTTTCCAGCCGAGTGTGAAGCAGTCGGGATGAGAGTCAGCACCTCCAAATCTGAGGCCATGGTTCTCTGCCAGAAACTGATGGATTGCCCCCTCTGGGTTGGGAGAGAGTTACAGCCTCAAGCGAGAGAGTTCAAGTATTTCGGGGTCTTGTTCATTAGTGAGGGTAGAATGGAGCGTTAGATGGGTCGGCGGTTTGGTGCGGCGTCTGCAGTGATGCAGGTGCTGCCCTGGACTGGCGTGGTGAAGGGGGAGCAGAGCTACAATGCGAAGCTTTCAATATACTGGTCCATCCACATCCCAACTCTCACCTATGGTCATGACCTTTAGGTAGTGACCAAAAGACTTGAGATTGTGGATACAAGTGGCCAAAATGAGTTTCGTCCGTGGGGTGACTGGGCTCAGTCTTAGAGATAGGGTAAGGAGCTCAGACATCTGGAGGGAGCTCAGAGTAGAGCTGCTGCTCCTTTGTGTTGAAAGGGGTCAGTTGAGGTGGTTCGCGCATCTGATCAGGATGCCTTCTGGGTGCCTCTTGTTAGAGGTGTTCCAGGCCCCAGGGTAGACCCAGAACATGCTGGAGAGATCATATATCTCACCTGGCCTGAGAGTGCCTTTGGATCCCCCAGAAGGATCTATAAAGTGTTTCTGGGGAGAAGAACATGTAGGGTGCTTTGCTTAGCCTGCTGCCCCTGTGATCTGGCCTCGGATAAGCAGATGAAAATGGATGGATGGATCGATGGATGGTATATTTTTCTGCTAATACTTAGGCTCTCAGCAGGATTTTGAATGCAGGACTTTTACTTGTCATGGAGTATTTTTTCATTCATTTATTGGTACTTTTACTTAAAGCTGGGGTAGGCAGATTTATTTTGTACAAAACTCACTCCAGAATAATTTGAGCATATTGTGTGGTCTTAGAGAAAACTGGACTTCTGGCCTTCTCTTGGCTCTGTTTTCAGGCTCTAGAAAATCTAACCCCTGACTGAAGACTTTGACCAATTACAGGATGTTCCTATTGGCTGTTTTACAAATGCAGATCTGTGTGCACATCCCCTTGGATGGTGAAAGGCTGATTCAATGGTGGAGAATCCTGCAAAGGAAGTTGCTATTCCAGCATTGGCAGTAACTGCCTACACTGCAAAGCAACCCAAAAAAAGGAAGATGCACTTATCAAAAATAATCTACATGAGAGTCTGACAATAAATGAAAGAAAATGTGTATCAATATTGGTAAAGGAAGGAGATGAAGAGAAAATATTGCTAATACTCTAGCCTTCTGCCAACCAGAGCTAAAGACTCAAGGCTGTGGCTCCAAGTTCACATTTATGTTGGTAATGTTAGCTAAAGTCTCAAATCACAGTCGGCCTCACTCCCCACCGCTACAGGCCCCCTTGCTGGGAGGAGAGCGGGCAGCAGCTCCAGAGATGGACCCCAGTCAGCAGCCGCAGCAACTCAAATCCAGCCAGCACAAACCTGACTTCCATGGGACCAGATAGCCCTAACTCCCCATTGGAGCAGTAAACTTTCTGTTGCTGCTGTTACAAAAGTTAAACCTTGCACTGCTGCTGGCCACCTGGACTGGGGGTTTGCACCAGCCAAATTCGAGCATCTTCAGTCGTCCACTGAAGGTTTGTCTCAGAGCAGCTGCTCCCTCCCAACAAGGAAGCAGTCCACAGCAGCAGGGGACAGGGTGGAGGGACTGTGGAGTGGCTAGCAACTAATTCTTGTCTCATTTGTGGTCTGATGAACAGAAAGTAGGGCAAGGAGGGGCTGAGTGAGTGATCTGAGTGCAACTTGACAAATTAGATGAAATAAATCAATGTATGGGAAACAGTAGGTCAATGTATGAAGTGTGTGCATATGCCCGTGGTCCTCTAGTGGGAGGGGCTTAGGACAGAAAGGGGAGAGCTGCAGGAGGAGGGGGTATTTTTAAATTCTGACATTTTATTCTTTCTTTTCATTTCACTTTTTTCTTCATTCTTTTTTTTTCCCCAGATTTCTACCCTCCCCAGATTTAGGTAGGAATTTAAGCACAGGACTTTTACTTGTAGTGGAGTATTTTTTCATGTATTGGTACTTGTACTTAAGTAAAAGGTAAGAGCACCATCACCACCGCTTGTGATGACAGCAGGTATACGTTCTAATCACAAGTTTGTTTTTAAAAATACTGAGTGAAAAAGTCAAACACTCTTCTCACCTTCAGTTCTTGACCGTCGGTCTGATAGGTAAGTCTGTAGCCGCCCGCTGGATTTAAGGGAGGTTTCCATGACAACAAGGCAGTCCGAGGAGTCACATTGTTAGCTTGGAGATCACGAGGACCGTCCCCGTCCCTTCCAGAGCCTGGAGAGGAAGAGTAGGGTCATTCTAGTGATTTCAACTGCTTAAAGGTAAGAGTGTGTGTGTGTGTGTGTGTGTGTGTGTGTGTGTGTGTGCTGACCCTCAGTGGTGGTGAAGCTTGTGGATGCCACTGAGCTCTCCTTACTGCCCAGCTGGCTGGTAACGGTGACGGTGTAGGTGGTGGATCCTTCCAGTCCGCTCAGCTGCTGCTCTGCTGCGTTTCCAGAAACTGTGATCCTCAACTCTGAATCTGAACACACAGAAACACAAAACAATCAGAAACTGACTATCATTATTATTATTAGTGTTATTACTCTTTAGTCTGTAGTTTAACATCATAATGAGCTCTGCTTCAATCAACTACTTTGATATCAGAGACAACATAAAATAAAAAACGCAGGCCTTGTAAGCTCACCCATTGGTTTGTGGCCTCCCATTTTAAAGCCTCTAGTTCAGGTCCTGAGGAGGAATTTGGGGCTTTGCAACCAATTCAAACATTGAAATTATGTCCGTCACATGATGCCACATGGGCCAAAAAGACTATCATGGCAAAGAGATGTCTGTAAATTAGTGAACAAAATTCTTTGAGTGTCACAACCACTGTGAAATGACTCGTTTCACCATCAGAATTTGATCCATTCCGTCCGATAACATTTGGAAAGTCTAGAAGAGCCCCACCATCCCTATTCAAATTAGCGGAGCTCTAAACTTGAAGTAGCTGGCTTGGCCAGGAGAAGTGCTCTGTGGGCCCTACAGTGCAGAAGCAGTGCTGATCTTCAACACTGTATCTAGTTCTGTATATACATCCATGGTGACATCAACTATTTCTTTGTAGACTCAAGTTTCGCATTTTGGCCATTGCCATCTTGGAATTTTGGAGCCAGATGTGACCATTTTTGGTGATAGCATGGTTAGGATGGGTCTGATATGGTTGCGGGAGCCGTCCTGGGTGAGGAGATGGCAGCAGAGTTCTGGATGTACTGCAGTTTATTGAGGACTTTACAAAATGAACCATACAGAATGCTATTGCAGTAGTTGAGTCTGGATGTGATGAATGCGTGAATCAGAGTTTCTGCAGTGGAGAAGGTGAGTGAGCAGTGGAGCCGAGCTATGTTTTTTAGATGGAAGAAAGCGGTTTTGGTGATATGATTAATGTGTGGTTCAAATGAAAGGTTGCTGTTGAAAGTGACTCCGAGGTTGCGTAGATGGAGAAAGTGTGGAATTTGCAACTTTAAGGCTGAAATTAGGCTCCTGGACCCACCTAGAAGTTCAGAGGCTCTCTCTTTTTTCACCATACCTGTGTTTGCATCACTGAGTTATTGATGTGGATGAACTGCTGTCTGTTGGAGAGATATGATCTGAACCAGGAGATAGCCGTGCCAGTGATGTTGTTTTAAGATGGGAGAGGAGGGTGGAGTGGTTAATTGTGTCAAACGCAGCAGTGAGGTCGAGCATGATGAGGATGTTGAGGTGTCCAGATTTGGCGGAGAGGAGGAGGTCGTTGTTGACTTTGAGAAGAGCTGTTTCAGTGCTGTGTTGTGACCGGAATCTGGATTGAAACGTCTCAAATAGCTCATTGGAGGTGTGATGGGTTTTGAGGTGAGTGGCAACAAATGCACTCCAGGATTTTTGACAGAAAGGGGAGGTTGGAGATGGGCCAGAAGTTGGTCATGATGTCGGGATTGAGTCCAGTTTTTTTGAGGATGGGGTGACAGTGGCGAGTTTCAGAGGATCTGGGACTGAGCATTGATAATTCTGGAGATGAGTGGGGAGATAGAAGGGAGACAGGACTTAACAAGTGAGGAAGGGATTGGGTCGTGAACTGATGTAGAGTTACTCATACCTGTAGTGGCTTTTGTGAGGTCCAGAGGGGTCAGTGGGGGGAAGTGTGACAGTGGCGGGATGGAGGTGGGGGGGGAGAGCAGGTGGAGGGGTCGGGAAGTGAGGGGAGGTGGTCAGGTTGCTGTAGATGGTGTTAATTTTTGTTTGGAAGAATGACAAGAGTTGCACTTGTCGACTGTGAAGGATGTGGAGATGTTGTCGATCTGTTTGTTTATTGTGGAGAAAAGAGTTTTGGGGTTGTTGGAGCCAGAGTGTATGAGATGAGAGTAGTAGTTGGACCGGGCTGTGTTGAGGGCGTTCTTGTAGTGTAGCAGGTGGTCTGTGTAGGCTTTAAGGTGAACTGTTAGGCTAGTTTTCTTGTAGAGTCATTCCAGCTGACGCTTTCGGGATTTCATGGTGTGGAGCTCATGGGTGTACCAGGGGGCAGAGTGAGTGAAGGAGACGGTTTTAGTTTTGATGGGGACCAGCTGATTTAGGCAGGAAGAGAGGGTGGTGTTATAATAGTGGACAAGGTCAGTGGGGTCATCGGAGAAAGGGGGAGGGGAGGTAGGTATTATGCTGGTGAGTGAGGCTGAGAGAGCTGAGGGAGTGATGGATTTGAGATTTCTGAAGGATATTGTGCGTTTTGCTTTAGGAGTGGGGATGGGGATATTAATGTCCATAGTGATTGCCAGGTGGTCAGAAATATGGAGGTTGATGCTAGAGAGGTGGTGTAATGTTAGACCAGTTGAGCAGACCAGATTGGTCATGATGTCGGGATTGAGTCTGGGTTTTTTGAGGATAGGGGCAGACATATTATCAAGAGATTGGAGATTGAAATTGCAGAGGAGGAGAACAGAAGGTGAAATGGCACAGCGCTGGGTCAAAAAACAGAAAAATCAGACAGGAAGGAGGGGTGTGGCTTGGGGGCAGAGACCGGGGGTTGGGACCAGAGAGTTTGAAGACAAGATGTTCAAATGAGTTAACTGCAGGGATGGAAATGGTGGTTATTTTGATGTCCTTCTGATGAATAGCAGCAACACCACCTCCGCGGCCCTCAGGGCGAGGTTTGTCAGTATATCTGAATCCAGTGGGTGTGGTCTGATGAAGTGAAAAATTGTCCAGGGATTTGTGCCATGTTTTAGTGATGCAAAGAAAATCCAGGTTATCGTCAGTGATGAATTAATTTAGGATGAGGCTTTTGTTGTTCAGACATCGTGTGTTGAATAGAGCCAGTTTCAGATGACGTTGCTTTAGGATGGTTTGAGAGGACTGAGGAATAGTAATGGGTAGTAAATTCTAGGCACGTCTGTGAGCGAAGTGAGGCTTCATTGAGTAGAATCTTTAAGTGATGATTACAGGAATGTTTGTGGGAAGGAGAACATAATTGGTGGAAACATATTGTGAAGGGCTGGGAACTGTAGGATGTTTGGGATTTGACCTGGGGCTGGCTGTTGAGGTTAGTGGCAATTAACTTTCATGAACTGTAACACACTGAAGAAGCGACAGCTGGGGCTACGCCTATAATCTTTGAATCTGAGGTTACACCATGATATGTTACCTTACCAAAGCTGACGTCACCCACCTCTAACTTAAAGCAAGCATGCACTTAATTATGTGTAACTTAAAACCTTGGTAAATGTAAAAAGGTGAGTTATATAAAAATCCAACTGCCAGTACAGTTTTCTTGAATGTTGAAATTAGCTATAGAGCCCGAAACAGTTTTAAGTACCAGGCTGTAAACATGTTTATTTCTAAAGTTGGGCATTTTAACATGAGGGTCTTTGGGGACTGACTCACTCTCAGAGCCAGCCTCAAGTGGCCATTAGAGGAACTGCAGTTTTTGGCACTTTGGCTTTATTTTTCAGTCCTGAAGGGTGCCACTTCTTTGGTATCTTAGATAGAGTCAATTATCTTGTTCAGAAACTACTGTGCCCATGATACTTTGACAGGGCTTCTGTTGATAAAGGGATATTCTGTTGTTGTTAAATGTCTTTGCAAAAATATCTTACACCAACTCAAAGAAAGTCCATATAACTTGCTGAAGTGAGTTCACATGAGTGGTTATGATTGGATAATAGCACATTAAATTTTCATACATTTCTTGAGATGTTCGGCAGAAACGGTGAGGTTTTTATAGTTCTACAAGCAAAACAAAGAGTAAAAGTTGTACAAAAACGTCGAATTTTCATAGAACCTGTATTATCGTAGGGTTGCAGCTGCACAATGAACAGATACGGAAAAAAAATCTTCCATTAGACACAGAAACATTAACTCTATTGCAGAGACACTTGACAGCATCACCACTGACCTGTCCCAGAGCCATAAACGATGGCGTATTTATCAACAGTGGCCAATGCTGGACGCCACAACAACAAGGCTTTGGTATCTGTGATGTTGACAGCTCGGAGGTCTGTGGGAGGGTCAGGGACTGAAAGTGATAAAAAGATGATGACATTTTTATTCATTTCACTTCATTTGCACTGAAAATGTTAAAAACCAAACACAAAGAAAAACAGCATTTTAAAAAATTACGAAATGACAACAGAGCACTGTTGGAATGTGCAGAAGAGGCCAAAAACAAAAAAAAAGATGAAGAAACATAAAGAAAGCTGAGAGATGATTTCACACTGTGAGACCGATTATGTTGGGTTTGTCAACAGTTACACCCTCAGAGTTTTGAGTAACACAAAGCAGGATGAAACTCCTCTGAGATTAAATGCAGGGATTGTTTCCAGATTCAACACCTGCTGCAGATGTTGCCAAAGATTTCCTGAAATACATGTTGAGAGAAACTCAAGAAAACATGCAGGTTTTTTTAAAATATGTTGAAAATTTAAACTCTCTTTCTTTAAAAGTTTAATATAAAAATAGAAAATGGGAGACTCTCCTCTGCAACATAGTATCAGTTTTAAAGGAACAAGCTCTCTGGAGTAAATCATGCGGGAACACTTTCAAACTGGAAATATTTCCCTTTGAAAAAACACAGCATGTCTAATCTTTATACATTCATTATATTCCTATTGGGTTCAACACCAGCTCAGCTCAGCTACAATAAAACAATGTGAAAGCTGTAGTACTTACGTGTCATGACAAAGTCTTTGATTGGATCGCTCTCGTCCAGCCCGAGGATGGAGATGACACTGACCTCATAGGAAGAACCAGGTGAGAGCTGTGAAAGGCCGACGGTGGAGTCGTCTGAATCCACAGACACCGACACTGGCTCACCTGCAGAAACACAAAGAAGAAATTAATCAAAATTAATAATATATTTGCTTTTCAAACTTAAATGTGCAGCATATTCACAATAATAACAAATTCACTTTACATCTCCTCCCACTGATGGATTCCAGGTGAGCGTCGGCCCACACGCTGTGTTCTGGTTACAGAGGAACCAATATGAGCTGCCTTTGGTCTGTCAGACTACACCACATTTATGTCTATCCCAACAGTCACTTTATCAGATTTAGGCAATGGTGGAGTCATAAAATCTTGCCAACTTGGCTGACAGTCATGACAAACTACACGTTAGTCCACGACCATTCATAGCTGGTTGTCTTTTACATTGTGCGTGATATCCCTGGGATTATTCGTGTCCTATTTTTACTATCATTACCATTAATATTTCAGTCACTGTAGCTGTTCATGTCCCAGTAGAACTGAAATTGTAGTAGCCACCAGATAGCAGGAGAAAACATTTGAAGTACTGAATGCAAACTATGTAAGTCACTGAATCCTCCACAAGTTCCTGTGTTTCACAATAAAAACCTTTTTAGAAAATTGAGGGATTCTCTCAACTGAAATTATGAGGGGCTTTTAATTTCAAAAGGATATAAGGAGTGTTGAGTTTAAAATGACGGCTTGATACGTTAACTTTTACAGGGCAAACGGGAGAGGATTAAAAGTAAAACTAGAAAAATACAGAAGGAATGAGAAATAAAGGCCTGTTTCTAATGTTGTCCGTTTAAAATGAAGCTGGTACCCTCTGCAGATGTGGTGAGTAAAAGCCCCATCACTATTTGTGAATTTTATTCCTTTATATCCTCCATAATGAAGAAATAACTTTATTTGCTAGCCTGATACTAATGGCAGTATTCACCAGGTTGCTAAAGTCCCTCTGCTGTTTCATTTTTCCTTTTTTACTCTGTGTGGTAACGTCCCTAGAGAAAATAATAAAAAGGCTGAGGTGTTGTTGACCTTAAGTTGTCTACAGCAGCAGATCGCTCTGTGTTTCTATTGGTCAAAGTGACGGCTGTGAAGGGAGAAGTCGTGGAAGACAAAAAGAAAATCAAAAATGCTAGACTTTTTGTTGGGACCTCATGAGGCGTCTCAGACGTGGCGTCGTTATTGTCTACTATGACACACTACACAGGATAAAACAAGGGGTTATTGCGCAAAACATTCATTGTCGTTCACGATCTGAGCCAACACTGTACGACAGTCGTGTTGGACTAAAATCGGGCTGATATTGTGTAGTCCGGCCAGAGGGCCAGAATTGGGCCACTGTGTTTGGACCAGTTCTTGTCAGGAGTCTGGCATCAAGGTGTGCTATCTCACACATGACCAAGTAGCGAGCCTAAGCTCAAGCTCATGTGCATGGGCTCAGGTATGCTCAGGGCGTTTAAGGTACTGGGAATACGACTGCATAAATGAAACTTGGATTATTCTGCATGAGTTGTGTGAGAGTTTGTAAAAGTATGTTTTGATGGGGTTTTGCTGTTGTAAACCCCAATTCGCTCACTCAACTTTTTTGAAAACACCTTGCATTTGGGTGGCAGTGGCTCAGAGGTAGAGCGGGTTGTCCACTAATTGGAAGATCGGCTCCTCCATTCTGCATGTTGAAGTATTACTGGGGAAGGTACCGAACCCAAATTGCTCCCAGTAGCTGTTCCATTGGAGTGTGAGTGTATGAATAGCTACTGAGTAGCAGGTGGCACCATGTATGGTAGCCTTGGCCACCAGTGTGTGAGTGTGTGTGAATGGGTGAATGTGACATGTAGTGTAAAAAAAGCACTTAAAGGCTGCCTTTACACGACCATGTCTTGATGCCCAATTCCGATTCGTTGCCTATATCTGATTTTTCCTGACTGCGGTTTACATGTTCTATTCACCTTATTTTTCACGGAAACACGGAGGCAAAACAGAACGCAGCCAGCTTCCATTTTTTTTGTGCGACACTTCCGGTCCAGCACTCTTGACCACTATGTAAATGTCCCACGGTATTTACTACAGTGACATTACTGCGCGCATGGAAATGTTTACATTACTGAAAGCAATTTTAAGGACTAACTTTAAATATTTGAAGTTAATTGTTAAAGAATAAATCACCTGAAAAGCTGGCGCTGCTCCACATAATTTAAAAAGGTAACTAGAGCGATGGAAATGTCCGTGCAGCTGAGGACGGGTGTGGCTGGATGATGGATACGTACATGCTGATTCGGGTGCTATCAGAGCCGATCCACACATCACTATGGTTTAATAATCAACTCAGTCAATAAAAACAATCTGTCCTGTGTTAGGAGTGTATGTTGCTGACAGAAAGAAAGAAAGAAAGAAAGACTTTTTTTTAAAAAAGATAGAAACGCAGCGTACAGACAGTCTGTGTGTCTGTGTGTTGAGGGTACGAGCCGCAGCTTCAGCTGCTCAGGTAGAGAGGCTTAGCCCAGTGTGTTTTTTCGCTGATTCGGTTCTGCAGGTTCTCTGCTGGTACACTGGAGACAGGGATCAAGCAGTTTGTCTCACTTGGGATAGATTGTACTTTTTTTGGTTCATAGTTTTTGATTGACGTGCGATTTATTTGGCTTTCCTTCCTTTCCCCAAGGCTATTCAAGAGAAGGCTGAGACACGGGGTCAAACATGGGGGGATTGCACATGCGTAGTAAAATCTGATCTGCACTTCCTCAAAGGCTCAGTAGATGGCGTGAGACTGCAGAATAAGGGGGATGTTTGTTTCAAGCAGACCGCACCAAGCGCACTCCTTGATCGCCTGAGTGGATCCTGCGCTTTTTATCTAGCGCCCCTGTTGTCACCCTCCAGCATCGCAGCTCAAGTTACACTGCGCATGTGCAATCCCCCCATGTTTGACCCCGTGTCTCAGCCTTCTCTTGAATAGCCTTGCCTTTCCCTTGCTCATGAGCACGTCATCAAAATGCGCTGTCGTCGCATTATTCATGATGTACGACGTGGTTTGCCAGGAAATATCCGATCTGTCTGTTTAGATCACAGACCTATTGGCAGATATCTGATTCATATCCGATATATTTCCACATATGAAGGAGGCCTGAATCTGATCTGACAATATCCGATATCATGCGTTTTTTTCCTGTTTACACGTTCATGTTACAGATCTGATCTGGGTCACTTGAACCATGTAGTGTAAAGTAGGCCTTTGAGTGGTCGGAAGACTAGAGTACATCAGACACAACATTTAATTTCACCTTAATGCAACTGTGAGACTCTCTAATATCTACACAGACAGGAAATCACAAACTGTGTATATGGCTTAACTCATGGCCTTAACTTATGGCCTTAAACACACTGGGCTCTAGTTTCGCAGACCAGGCGAGGCGGGGGCGCAGTGCACCTGCGCTTCGCCAACTGGGTGTGGCCAGGCGGATTTTGCAAGTTTGGCACACCGTGCGCCTGGCGCAGCTACTCCTCTTTCCCACCTCCGTCCCTCCTACCTGCGCAAGTCAGAAAGAGGGAGGAGAGAAGGCGTGGAGTGGGTTTTACACACATCACACCAATCAAATGAGCCCCTCTCCTCGACCTTAAATGCGGCGCGCAAAGGCGTAATGAGAGTTTACTCAATTCGCCATGGCAGAAGAGAGCAGCAGCATCAGACGGCCAAACTTCTCCCAGGAGGAAACTGATGTTTTGGTCCGGGAGGTCCAAGCTGGCAGTGTCCGAATATACGAAACTGCGAGCAGATGATGCAAAGGTAGCCTGGGAGGAGGTCACCACAATTGTAAATCAATGTTGCGTTTCTCTCGTGCGCGCACGCTCTCTCTTTCTCTCTCGCCGTCTCACTCTGTTTCTTTTCTTTTGACTTTTCTAAGATGACAGTTGCTGAATATATACTCCCTATCTGATGCTGTGGCTGTTTGTGGTTGGCTGAGAGGGATGTGAACTCATTAGTTTGCAGCTGTGTTAATCAAATCAGGTTGGGTTTCCATTACGCGTGCCAAACGGTGCCAGACGGTGCCAATCCCCTTTGATCTGACATCAGATGTGACGGGACAGTCGATATAGAGATAAATTTATGTGCTGATTGCAGATAGTTGCATTGAATAGTGGTTTTTGTGGCTATTTATTGCATTGTTAATGTGCCTGATACTCTGGAAACCTGCCTGTGAGGTTTTGGTGACGTGTGCGCACTGTCCGCCGGTCAGCCAAACTTCGGCTTACACCGGCTGTGCTCCGCCTGCGCTGACAATAGACCTGGTTTCAGCTGGCGAGCTTTTAGCGCACCTTCAGGAAGCCTTTTGGCACGAAACTGTCACTGCGCCAAGCTGGATCTGTCGACACCTCCCCCTGCTGCGCCGCCACACCCATCTCAGCGCACCTCGGTCTGCCAAACTACCAAACTGAGCGCGCCTCGGGTTGCGCTGCTCAAAACTAGCTCTGCGCGGGGTTCACCACCCTGCGCCATCCTGTGCTGCGCCGGGCAACTAGAGCCCATGATCTCACGGCAAGCCCATTGAGCCCCACCATGATACAACATGTTAGGTACACAATAATAGTGTTGTTTATTGGCCTCAAACTAATTAGGTGAAATTGGCTTCATAAAGTGAGTTTTTAAGTCATGTGAGCATAAAGTTTTCATGTCATTTTGACAATCCAGGGCGTTTGTGTATGCTATACATTAAAATTTTGTGTCATGGATGGATTGGGGTTTACAGTGATTACTTCTATCCATCAAGAATTTTCTTAGTTTTTGGGATTCTCTGTTCACCATGGAGGTATGCGAGAAATGCAAAGTTTTCTTCACAGATTCAAGGACACACACGGTGAGTATTTAAATTATATTAACTATCATTTAGTGGGTGAAGTATTCCTTTGTAGCTTATTATAAGGTTGAATTATTGATAGAATTAAAGTTAATTTGGGAGAAGGCATAAAAGCTATGATACACTCCTGATATAGAAAGTCTTGGCAGAGGAAACAACATACCAAAACACTTGTTATATGATATTATTGAGTGCATTTTAATTAAACATAGATGTCAGCTCTCACCCTCATCTGTGTGTGTGTAGGTGACCTTGAAACCACTGATGGGAGTCTTAGGTTTGGTCCACGACACCGTCAGAGAGTTATCTGTCACTTCGCTGAAGACAATGTCCGTCGGAGGCTCCGGGCCTGAATGGTACGAAGAATACCATAAGAGAGGTAGATGAAAGTAAGGGAAAGAAAGGAAGGGAAGAAAAGAAGAGGAAGAAATAAAAGAAAAGAGGAAACATGAAGAAAAACAGATGAAACAGGAATAAGAAGACAGAGCAGGTAAAATAAAAGGAAAGAGAGCAGTAAGAGATGAAGTAAAGAAGATAAAACTAGTAACTTTGGACAGATAGTGTAGCAGGTTTCATGAAAAGATGACAAAATTGGCCACTAAGAAAGTGAAAACAGTGTGTGTACATTATTATTTATTCATCCACACATTTGCAATTAGTGCTCCGGCGAGTTTGTGTGTATATATGTACAGTGCAAACATATATACAGTATACAAATCATATACAGACATACAGTAATTAATTATAACAATCAAATGCAGGTGATGGATCCTGGACAGCAGCGAAGGAAAGAAAGATGATATTCAATAGTTAGCCGGTCGCTCAAACCTGAAAATAAAAGCGAGGCAGGAGTGAAGGATGTCAAAACAAAGGAAGAATAAAGTTTCACAGGATGAATGAAAACAAATACATTCAGATATTAATTCAACATAGAAGATTTAAGCGTTGGAGAATTATTTTGCGCTTTTTCAACCTCACTGTGGTGTGAATGATTTTCCTGGTAAAACCACACTCATAACTCTTAAAACAGATTAAAATAGAGTCACTGAACTAATTAACAACAGTTTTGCATGTGTCCTGAAATGCATTTCTGAGACGATTTCCTTGTCAATAGCTTAATACATAGTGTAACACTTGCACTTTTGTATTAAAATGAAATAGCTAGACTGTCTTTGTAATACCTCTTAAGTGAAATGGACAATTCAGCCCCAAATCAATAACACATATTTTTCCTTTTTACCCATAGTGCTATTTATCAGTCTAGATTGTTTAGAATGGAAGCATATAAGAGACATAAGTCATTGTATTTTAACTGAATATCAAAATTTAAAGACCACTGAATTCAAAGCATTTAAGTATTTTACTTTGGAAATAAATGTATCTAATTCTATTTGTTGTGAATTCATGCCTTTGAAATTAAAATATGAAATTTCTTGATTGGCAACTTCAAAAGGTAAATTTGAATTGTTTATTCAATGTTCACATACAAAGAAGTCCACACGCACATCCAAACCAAAAACGGGCAGGTGCTGAGCCGAAGACAGTGCATACAAAAGAAGACAAAAGAAACAGTTCGCACACTGCAGGGCTCCAATGTTCAGTCGAATTTATTCGAATAGAAGTAACGTTTCAAGCATCAGTCTGATGAAGAGCCTGACAAGTTCAAGTTGAAAATTTTCAAATGGCATCTTCCAGCCCAGGACAGAAAAGGCAATTGTTTTTATTAATTCAATTTTGTCTGTTTGAATTTTTGATCTGAATTTGACCAATCAAATTTAAGGAACCTAAATATATATTTCTAATTTTAAAAAAAATAAAATTTTGGAGCTGGATTTGTTAACATTGAAAAAGTATTTGATTTCAGCTTTGAAACTGCAAATCAAGAAATTAACTTTTGATTTCAAATAGGTAAATTTACAACAAATAAATTCAGACAGATGAATCAATGCTATTAATGCAGTGGTGTTTACATTTCAGCAATAAATACTTAGCACTTCACTTGTGGTGCTCAAAGGGCCAAAAAAAAAAAAAACATTTGAAAAACTCAACAGCAATGTCTCTTTCCAGAAATCATGACCTGGTTACTCAAGATAATCCACAGACCTTGTTGCAAGCAGTTTTGTGTAGGATCTAGTTTCTTTTCATCAACTACACCAACCATATCACCATGCAGAAGGAAGTGTGCACCTACTGCTCGTACACCTAGCACCACTGAGCTAATAAGCTAATGTTACAGCGCAGCTGTGGGGGATGCCATTAATATCTACATCTCGCGCTGTCACAAACAATAGTTTCATGTCCATGAGTAGATGCACACGTCCTTCTATGCAGCGATGCGGTTGTTGGGTGTAGTTTGGTAGGACGAAAATAACTCTGACATGAAACTGCTCACAACAAGGTCTGTGGATTATCTTGAGTGACCAGGTCATGATTTCTGGAAAGAGACATTGCTGTTGAGTTTTTCAAATGTATTTTTTGGCCCTTTGAGCACCACAAGCAGAGTGCCATCTAATTCTATTATATTAGAGAGAAGGCAGACATGTCTACAACCGATACCTCCAACTCTCTGGTCGGTGAAGATTCTCAGTCATCCAGGTCATGGTAATCGTAAGTGCTAAATCGTAGGCAACTGGTCTTGCTTGCGTTTATAACTCTCATCCAAGAAGCTTCTTCATTTCTAAATGACGAAATTGCAGGCTTTAAATCCTGTGTGAGTGGGAACCCTTACAGAATCGTACGGGTCACATGTGAGCCCTTAGTTTCAGAGTCGTTAAGGTCACAATGTGAGTCGTTGACCCACCTGGCCACCATGTGAGCTGTTAGGGTCAGGTGGGACCAGGGTTGAATGGGTGTGAAGTCATCTGGGAAGAGACCCCAAGACTGTATTGTAGGTGGGTGATAAGTGGTGTCGTAAGCCACCCCCCCTATTTAACGATGGTAATTCCAGCTTGATGTAGGTGGCTTCTTTGACTCCTCTTTCAAACCATCTTTCCTCCCTATCCAAGATGTGCACGTTGCTGTCCTCAAAGGAGTGTCCCTTCTCCTGTAGATGTAGGTGGACAGCTGAGTCTTGACCTGAGGAGCTGGCTCTCCTGTGCTGTGCCATGCGCTTGTGGAGTGGTTGTTTTGTTTCCCCAATGTATAAATCTGTGCATTCCTGGCTGCACTGAACTGCATACACTGCATTACTCTGCTTATGTCTGGGTGTTTTGTCCTTGGGGTGGACAAGTTTCTGTCTCAGTGTATTACTGGGTTTAAAGTGGTGTTTGTTGAACAACACCACACAGAATTTAAAGCCTGCAACTTTGTACCAGTCATTTAGAACTGACGAAGCTTCTTGGATGAGAGGCGAAACGTCTTCAAGAAACGCAAGCAAGTCCAGTTGCCTACGATATAGAACTTACGATCTCCAACTCTCTGCAACTCACACCAAAACAATCCAGACTGATAAATAGCACTACAGGTAAGAGGAAAAATATGTTGGGTTTTTTTATTTTGAGGTGAACTGTCCCCTTAAATAGGGACCATGCTGTCAATCTGATCCACTTGTTAATTATAAAATATTCACATTTAACTTTGATTTGTTCTTTAATTTATTTTTCTTGTAAGAGGTGAAGACAGACCAAACGTACAGAGACCAGCTGTGGTCTTACCCTGGTTTGGGTGAGAGGTGAAGAGGTGTCAGTGAAGCTGGCTGTTAGCTTACCCTGAATGAGAGAAAACCAGAGCAGCAGTGAATGAATTGTGTTGTTATGTTGTTACTGTTGAGCTCTCATTTGATGTCAACTCAGTTAATAAACTGTCTCAATGAAGTGACACTGGATAAAGTTCTCAGTCTGCTGCCAGTCTGAAGTCCTGGAAGTCATTTATCAATGTGGCTTGTAGCTGTTTGTGTATTTTTTTTTAATTATCATTTCTTACTTCACTTAAATACTAATACCACATAGTAAAACTACTCTATTACAAGTATAAGCCTTGCATTGAAACAGCAAATCTTCACATTTACATGGAAAAATCACTTTTACAAATATCAGAATGGTTGCCAATTCAATTTCTGTCTACCCACTAATTGTTTTAGCTTTACTAAAACATACTGTTGAGAAGTTTAATTTACATCAAAACATCTCAGTAAAAACAACAACATATCCCTCTGGAATGGAGTGGAGTAAAGGTAAAGAGTGGAACGGAGGAAATACTACAATACAAGTACTCCAGAGTACAGTACTAAAGTAAATGTACTTTGTTACAATCCATTACTTAGTTAAGGTTTGGTGAAACAGAATTGGTGAACTCCTATATATTTGCATAAAATCTGCTCAATACTTTGATGGAGAATTTATTTCTTTAAGCCTCTTTAAGCAGTAAATATAGAGAAATCAAAGATATATCATGCTGTGTGGGACAGTGGTGCCATCTTGTGAGTTACATACTCTGTTACCAAAGTGTATACACTTGCTTCAAAATGATATAGTTATGCTGTCTGGGTATGTGAGTGGAGGTAGTGCATCGGGGTTTGTAATCCAGGCCTGGGCTACCAAGCAAGCCTCGAAGCCAATTTTCGTAGTGGCCAAACAATGAAATTACAACTTATGGGTCCAACATGTGATGGCATAAGGCCCAGAAAGACTTTTTTTCCACAGACATTGTGAAAGAGAGGTCTGTAAATCAGTGGATACATTTTTTGAGTGTCATAACCCCCAGCAAAGGTCTTGTTTCATTGCCAAAATTTGATCTATTGGTTCAACATTTCAAAAGTCTAGAAGAGCCATATGATTAATTTATTTTATCCCCATTTAAGTTAGTGGAGAGCTAAACCGGAAATTAATTTGCTTGGCTGGTAAAAGTCTATAGGCTAGTGCCTTTGCTCTATGAGCCCAACAATTCGAGTAATTTTACATTTGGAAGGTTGGAACTTTTTTGGCTTCTTGCGCCACTGAGAAACTTTCACAGGAACAGGGCCCCTCCTCCAATGCTGTGTCCAGTTTTTTAAATACATCCATGCTGCCAGGTCTTATAGATCTATGTTGTTTTTTATGTTTGTCCAAATATTTTTGCTTGACCAAGTAGCAGACCTGGCTGTTCTCGTGCACTTTTAGAACATTTTCCAACGAAAAATAAAGCACCACAATTTCTATACGACAAACAAAAGACATTTCCCCAGGACTTTCCCCAAGGAGAATGATGTTTGGGACCATAAAAAGCAAGTAAATTTGGAGTTATTTTAAGGTACGTCATCACCATGTTTCTTTTCCTAAAACCTAATTTAAGTAACTTCAAATTAAGCATGTAACTTTATGCTAAGTGCATAACTTGTGGGGTGCTAATCCTTTAGATATCATATAAATGAACTGTTGTATGAGGATACTTTGAGCAGGCACAGGTAACACAGTGTGGCCCTCACAAGATGGCGCCCCTGTCCAAAAACTTTAACATGGCGTGACCTCAACTTCTTTATTACTCAAGATCCAGTAAGTGTCGAACTGAGAACCAAACAAAAAATCATCTACAGGTTTGCTAAACTGGACACTTTGCAAGCTAACATAACCAACATGCTAAGGACAACTGATGCAAATGTTAACCTGAAACTACAAGCCACAACAAGCTAGCTAGCTAACAGTTTAACAAAGTGTCAATGCACATCTGAGGTTTGACATCAAATAACTGAGTGTGTGTGGTTGAGAATGCAGATTATTATGACTAATTCATGAATATTTCATATATTCATGAAAGTTGACATATGAGTACACAAACACTGCATTAATACAAAAAACAACCACTTGATAGACATTTTGAACATCACTGAAAACAAACAAAACAGGTTATGTCATTACCAGATCAGTGATTAAATAACAAATACATGGGTGAAACTGTAAATCACAAGCTTACAGTTTTCAAGAGCACCACAGCACTTGGACTCTTGAAATGAACATGGAGGAAGCATTTAGTGGGTGAGCAAACATTTTCAGTCACACTTAACACAAGTGACAATTAGTCAACAAATGCATTTTTGTTTAAATCAGCACAAGACGTGGTGCAGTAAAGATAAAGAATGTGTGCGTGAACAGTTTTTTATTCTAAGGCAGAGCGAAGTGAAAAGAGCACATTTTCTGTAGAGGACTTCACAACATTGACAGTAATGTAGCATTGTGCAGTAGTGATTAAGGTTGTTCTACACACTGTCACAATGGCTTGTACCTGTACTGATGACAAGCTTGTGCAGTTTGGACAGCAAGCCAGGACCCTTTCCAAGCAAGGTCACGGTGTACTCCGTCTGAGGAGGCAGATTCTCAAACTGGAAGGATCGAGCTGAACCAGGAACAACTTTTTTGAAGATTTCACCACTTCCTGTTACAGGTTTGGCTTTTGAGCTGCTTTGGATCTTCCGAACTTGTGTAGAGACACTTTCAGGTACTCTGTTTTCACCTTCACTGCCTCCATTTTCTGATTCTGTTTCTTTGGTTGGTTGATGCTTTCCTTCCTCCTCTCTATTGCCACCTTGTTTCTTAGGACTTCCTTGGTCTTCTTCCAGATTGTTCTTGCTTTCCTTCGGCTTTGGCCCTTCATCTTTCTCAACATTTTGGCTTGTCACAACAAAGTTTTTATACTTCTCTTCGGGTGAGTCCCATATGAGTGTAAATCCATCTGAGGTCCGGTTTGTCACTCCAACATAGTCAAGAGGTTCCCTTGTAACTCCAGAAGAAACATCAGATCCAGCCTGAGGTTTTGAATCCTCACTTCTTCTTTGTTCGGGTCTCCTGCCAAACAACCGTTTTGTAGTATTGTGTGATTTTGTATCCTGTCTTCTTTGGCTCCCACTGTTGTAGTGTCTTATTTGAGTCTGATGTGGTCCTTTCATCGGTGGTTTCTTTGGAAGTGTGACTCGTTTTGGGGTTCCATATCTTGAATCAGAGGCAGTTTGACTGGTCATCAGTCTACCTCGACTTGTAGTGCCAATATTTTTGCCAGCAATTACTCTTTCTTTATGGATGTCAGTGGTTGAATCTGGTATGATATTTTCTTCTTCCCCAGATTTTGTAGTTTGGACTGGAGCATTGTTCCCCTCTTCTGATTTGTTAATCTGTGGTCTGATGGTGGTGACATGGCCATCTGTCTGGGCTCTTGGAGTTACCTCTGCAGTGTGCTGTTCCCCTGATTGTTCAATTTGGAATCCTTGGGTAGGCATGGGGGCAGCCTGCTCTCCCAGTTGATTATCTTGGATTTCAGGAATACTCTCCATTTCTAATTGGACTCGTTGGGTAGGCATGGGGGCAGCCTGCTCTTCTGATTGATTATCTGGGGTTTCAGGGGTACTATTCTTTTCTAATTGGACTCTTTGGGTAGGCATGGGGGCAGCCTGGCCTCCTGATTGGTTATCTTGGATTTCAGGAGTAGTATCCTTTTCTAACTGGACTCTTTGGGTAGGCATGGGTATAGCCTGGCTTCCTGATTGTTTTTCTTGGATTTTAGGGGTGGTATCCTTTTTTAATTGGCTAAACCGACTTCCAACAGGAATGCTGCTGCCTCCATTCAGGTTTTTGGTTGGAAGAGGCTTGCGCATGGGACCTCTTTGTGGATGTTGGGGTGGTCTCAGGTTTATACGGGTTTTGTTTTGGACACGTCCACCATGCAGTTGCGGGTGACGGAAATGACCAATTTTGGTGGTTGGGAGATGAGAGGAAGGCACTCCACTTCCTCTGAGGGTCTGATTAAATTCAGTGGACATGTTTTTTGAGGATATTCTTGTCCCAACTCTGTCTTCATTCTCTGCTACTATTGGCCCTGCACCTTTAGCTGGATATGGTTCTTTGGAAACAGAAGTGGCTGGTAATTCAGTGGAAGATATATGATCTCTCTTTGTTTCTGATGCAGGATTTAAAGGTCGAGCTGAGGGAGGCCGCAGCCTCAAATTTGGACGAGTGCGGTTCTGAAATGGTCCAAAGTTTATCCGACGCACGTATCCTCCTTTTGGAGGAAGATGCCGCATTGGGATTCGTCCTCTTTCTGTTGGCATCTTTTTCTGCAATTGTTCAATTCCAGAGGATGTGGGTGTAGTTGCCCAATCTTTGTCTGCACTTGAATCCCTCACTGCTGCAATTGCTTCAACTAAGGAAGATTCCTCTGAAGCAGATGATGATAGTGGAGACGATAATTCACTTGTGGATGCATGTCTAGTCTCTGTCTCTTTTCTCAGGGTGAGTTTCAAATGAGGAGTTGAAAGGTGAGGATCTCTTAAATTTAGACGGGTTTTGTTCTGAAATGATCCAAAATTTGGGTGTGGGCGACGTATGTGTCCATGTTTTGCAGGTGTTCGGCGGAAAAGAGGTGCGCCACCTTTTCCTAAGGGTGGTAGTTTTCTGTCTTCAGGTGATGTAACGTCAGTTGTAATTCTGCTGTTATCTGCATCTTGTTCATTGCTTCCAACTGAACCGGATTTATCTGAGCTGGAAAGGGACGGTGATGGAGATGAAGGTGATGATGACAGAGATGGTGAAATAAAATTTGTCAGCAAAGATGGTCCTTCTGTTGATGATGATAAAGGTGGTGCTAAAGAGGGTGAGGATGAAGATGATGGCAATAATGACAATGGTGCAGCTGAGGACTGTAGTAATGATGATGGTGCTGTAGTTGATGATGATAAAGGTGGTGCTGAAGAAGATGAGGATGGAGCTGATGCCAATGATAATGATGGTGGTGGTTTTCTGTCTCCAGCTGACGTAATATATGAATGTTTTGGAGGTGTTGGGTGGAAAAGAGGTGCGCCACCTTTTCCTGTGGGTGGTAGTTTTTGGTCTTCAGGTGATGTAATTTCAGGTTTATTTCTGCTGTTTTCAGCATCTAGTTCATTGCTGCCAACTGAACCTGATTCATCAGAGCTGGAAAGGGGTGATGATGAATGTGATGACGATGATTGAAAGGTTGATGAATGCGATGATGATAAACGTGAAGACTCGGACAAGGATGGTGCCAATGGCTTCAGTCCCCTGAAAATCTGCCTTCTCACTGTTTCTGCATTAACAGAGAGGTTCGATGGGTTAGACAGGTGAACAGAAAATGTTGTGATATTCAAACTGTCAGAAGTGTCAGTTAGGAGTTTATGTAAAGGGTCTGGTGTATAGTCGAGGTCTGTCTCTTCAGACAAGGGTTTCAAATCATCTGCTCCAGAAGAACCTTGATCTGAACCTGGTGTCTGTCCAACTAGCACTGTTCCATCCCCTCTACACCCGCTGCCTCTGCCCCGATGGGGTAATCTGATGTGTGTCACTTTAACTTTGTTCATACATTTCTTTTCTTGGCTTTGAACAGTCCTAGTTGGCTCTGAAGACACTGGAGCAGTGTCATTTCCTTGGCCTGCCATGCCAACATCTGGTTGCTCTTTGGAACCGACAGTTGGTTCCTCTGAGCTACTTTGTCTGTTTGTATCTGAATCAGTCCCAGACATTTTAGCTGGATTCTTGTCATCCCTCCTCTCACTGGGTGATGCATCTACACTTGGGTCTCTCACAGTCAAAGCTATTGTCCTGTCTCCAATAGTGTGGACACCTGGTTTTAGTTTTTTGGGTAATATTGGTGCCTTCTTCTTCTGCCCCACTGGGGGCTTTTTCAAAGGGCCTGGGCCAACCTTTTTCCGTCCAGGCACAACTCTGGTTGTGTTGAAACGGAAAGGGCCTGAGACATTTGGCTTCTTGTACAATGTGGGCCTTCCAGGGACTCTGGGCCTGGTGCCATTTACTGCCACCATTCTGCTGACCAGAGGTTTAGTTTTTGCAGTCACAGAGGTTGAGGAGTCTCTGTTTGGTCCATCGATACTTCCGACTTTATTTATAGAGTCAGCCTCGCTCCCATCCTCCCTCCTCCCCTGTTGGTCAAAGACTTGCACCTCAGGCGATGGGTTAACCTCTTGGTCTCTGTCTTCAACATCTTGTCCAGGTGCTAATGTGATCTGCATGGTCAAAGCTGCTGTGGTAACCCCTGGTAATATCTTCCCTAAAGATGTGAAGGGAGTGAGCATTTGGATTCATTGTTAAGGTCATCATATGCTGCTGCTGTTAATAATCCAGAAGAGATCATGTCTAATAAAGGAAGAAAATCAGTTTTAATAATAATTTTGATACTTTTAAGGAAACCTGATTAACAGTAGTTTGTCAGTTAATATGCATGAGCAACAAAAAAACAACTTTTTACAGTGATCTCCATGTAGAACCTGCAAGGAGAAAATTAAAATATAATTAATGTTAAGCTTTGACAGAGGAATTCAACATGGTGTCTGTTACACCACTGAGAGGAAAATAGCAGGACCGAGTTCAGGAAAAGGGAGCAATTTACGGAATATTTTCTTCTGAAACTAACAAGTGAACTAGCAAGTGTGTTTTCACCTGAATATTTGACTTGCTCACGATGAGCATGTGCAAGGTCAAAGTATCAATGAACATAGCTTGTTTTGGAGAATTTTTTTTAGATCTTAAAGTCCCCCTCCACTCAAAAAGGTTTTATTTAAACTTCTGTTTATGTCTGACCTTGACAATACGGACTTGTATTTCTGCAAAGTTTGCCATTAGAGAGGCGTTTACATTCCTCTGGGGGGGGGGGGGGGGGGGGGGGGGGGGGGGGGTGTAATATCCCTAAAAATCTGAGATTCAAATGTACGCTGGGTGAGCTAGATTAGGTATATCATTAATACACAAGCCAATCACTGTCCAGTACGGGAAACTTATTGACAGGGGAACAGACTTCTTTAACATAACACTAACAAAGAAACCTGAACCCTCCAGTGCTGAGGGGACTTGTAAGTACACAGAGCAGAGTTAGCTTTAGCATAATGACAGCAAACATAGCAGAGAGTGCCATTTTTGGATGATCCTGGAGCTTCCTTCCACTATCTACAAAATACCCCATTGTACCAGATATCATGTTTCACAACCACTAATGTGGCGTCAGCCTCTGCCAGCAACATAAAAGATGCTAACTACACCTACAGTTCTTTTACGTCTGCTAGTTGTTGATTTTGGACATCTGAGTATGGGTCTGACTGAAGCTCAAACATGTATGACTGAATCTCTCTTATGTTTTCTTTAATGCTAGTTATCTTGATGCGCACTGCTCTTTTACACTAACAGCACTGGAGAAAGTGAAATGAAAAACTTACAGCTAATGAATTTCTCAATGAGGAAAAAAGATCAGATCTGCTTCCAGACCCTTTAAGTGTTTTTTTAACTATTATGTGTGAAAAACAAGTTAAACATTAGTATTACTTTAAAATGTGTCTGGAGAGGGACCAAACTTAAAACTTAATAAAGAGTAAGTCGGGTTTTATTCCATATTTTTCCTTACTCAAATCACATTAAAAAGACACAAAACTCATTAATTCATCTCTCAACACTTTTGGACTTTCTGTTTGTGGCTCTTAGCTCCAAACTCATATGAGCTGAAATCACAGCCTATTAAAACTATCTCACAATTTTACAAATTAATTTTAAAAAAAGTAGTAAAAGCAATTTCCTAAAACAGGAGGGAATAGTGCATTTGTTGGGGACTATTTTCAGTGGCACATTAATCCATATTTGGTTCTTTATTTAGTAAAAGGTTTCAGGGATCAGGACTGTCATATCTTTGGAGTAATAAGGGAAACTTTAAAAACAGCTGTCTGAAAAGAGGAGTTCAACTTATAATCAGAATTGTCTTTAATCGGGGCCATCACTGTTTGACATCTTGAACACCACTGTGACATGTGAGGAGATAAAATAAGATGTCATTGACGTCAGCAGTTCAGATAAACTTTGTTCCTACTCACCTGGAGTAACCTGGGTGGTTGCTGGTTTACTCTGACTCGTGCCCTTCTCCGCTACCAGTATGATGTCATACAAACGCCCCGCTTCCAGCTGCTGGATGTGGGCGGAGTCTTGGCCAGCTGGGATGATCATTTCTTGACTCTTTCCTGCTCTGTCATTGGGCGTTACGGTCAAACGGTACTTGTGAATCTCACCCTGTGACTGCTCCCACTGGACCACTGCAGATGTGGAGGTCGTCTTGACGGCTCGGAGGTTAGTGGGACCGGAGATGACTGAGAAAGAAGAAGGGAAAAGACAAAATTTCCAGTTTTACAACCTCTATTCTGCCAGGTAACATGTAGCTGTGTGAGCAGGTACACAAGCATCCACATTTAATTTACCCTGCAGACTTGGCTCAGCACATTTCCCTTGTCTCTCCTTTTCTGAAGTCACAGTTAGACTTCTGCAAACCTCAGCCTTCCTGTTCACAGCCTTCCTGCAGCAGCTGCCACAGATTACATCGTTCACAGGAAGGGCAGTGAGAGGGAAATGTTTAAATTCTCTTTGCCAGTTGAGCGATTTAAGCTGCTCACATCTGCCAATACGTTGGTCAGAAGCTCCGTTTTCTAACCAGTAAACTGCACTTACGTTGGGACATTTTACATTTGTAAGCATTACTGTCAACTGTAATATATTCATGGTTTCAGCATTTGCCATATTTGATGAATGGGGCTTTTCATAATGCAGATATGGATACCAATATTCTTGTAATGAAGCTGTAGCATATATTTTGTACTGCTTATCAATATCCTTCTTTTAAAATGTTGATTTCAGATTCCCCCAGAAATGTAGAAAAATCGCTGAAACAGCTTTTTAGATCATTACAAGACATGAAACTCTACTTCACTACTGTAGCAGTGTGACACCGAGATACGTTATTACTGTAAACCAGACAATAAAGAAACATTTTAGGAAAGTTCAAGATATTATGACACTGACTGACCACAAGATAACAAATTATATTTAATAAGGAAATAAACAACCAGGTGTTAAAAAAATAGTTTCTGCTTTTTACTTTTTTGCCCAAGAAGAGAGACACAGAACCATGTGTGTCTGTTCTCTCGTCTAATACCAGCCCATTTGACAGAAACAATGCTATGGTATGTTTCTGCCAACCACGGATACGTTACATTTACGTTATTGCGGATACATTGAAACTTCAACAACCCAGTGGTTAATGTGTGGTTAGGCTTACGGACAAAAACACTTGGTTATGGTTAGGGAAAAGATCATCTTTTGGCTTAAAATACCTGCCTTTTGTGCTACTATCTCAGCAGGAAAAGCAGTGATTTCACTGTAAAACCAATTGCTTTTGAGTCACTATGCTGGCTGGAAACACAGCAATATCTTGGTTGATTACTGCTTTTCATTGCACTATCCTGGTAGGAAAAGCAGCAATGTCTCGGTAAATAACAACCATGTTTGTGTCACTATCTTGGCCAGAAATGCAGGGAAGTCTTGTTAAAAAACGATCACTTTTGGTGGCACTGTCCTGGTAGGGAAGGCAGCAATGTCTCAGTAAAAAATAACCACTTTTTGCAGCATCATCATAGCAGGAAATGCGGTGGTGTCTTAGTAAAAAACAACTGCTTTATGTAACAAAAAAGCCATGGGTCGGATAAAAACACTGGAAACACAGCAATGACTCGCTAAAGAACAACTCGCTTTGTTATTTGTTGGTCTTGAACATGGTCTGCAGCTTGGAGGGTGTCTTGCCTAGGTGTGATCCCCTCCGGCTCCAGATGACAAAGTCTGTTCATATATTATATTATATGATAATATATATACAGTACAGGCCAAAAGTTTGGACACACCTTCTCATTCAATGCGTTTTCTTTATTTTCATGACTATTTACATTGTAGATTCTCACTGAAGGCATCAAAACTATGAATGAACACATGTGGAGTTATGTACTTAACAAAAAAAGGTGCAATAACTGAAAACATGTTTTATATTCTAGTTTCTTCAAAATAGCCACCCTTTACTCTGATTACTGCTTTGCACACTCTTGGCATTCTCTCAATGAGCTTCAAGAGGTAGTCACCTGAAATGGTTTCCACTTCACAGGTGTGCCTTATCAGGGTTAATTAGTGGAATTTCTTGCTTTATCAATGGGGTTGGGACCATCAGTTGTGTTGTGCAGAAGTCAGGTTAATACACAGCCGACAGCCCTATTGGACAACTGTTAAAATTCATATTATGGCAAGAACCAATCAGCTAACTAAAGAAAAACGAGTGGCCATCATTACTTTAAGAAATGAAGGTCAGTCAGTCCGGAAAATTGCAAAAACTTTAAATGTGTCCCCAAGTGGAGTCGCAAAAACCATCAAGCGCTACAACCAAACTGGCACACATGAGGACCGACCCAGGAAAGGAAGACCAAGAGTCACCTCTGCTTCTGAGGATAAGTTCATCCGAGTCACCAGCCTCAGAAATCGCAAGTTAACAGCAGCTCAGATCAGAGACCAGATGAATGCCACACAGAGTTCTAGCAGCAGACCCATCTCTAGAACAACTGTTAAGAGGAGACTGCGCGAATCAGGCCTTCATGGTCAAATAGCTGCTAGGAAACCACTGCTAAGGAGAGGCAACAAGCAGAAGAGATTTGTTTGGGCCAAGAAACACAAGGAATGGACATTAGACCAGTGGAAATCTGTGCTTTGGTCTGATGAGTCCAAATTTGAGATCTTTGGTTCCAACCGCCGTGTCTTTGTGAGAAGCAGAAAAGGTGAACGGATGGATTCCACATGCCTGGTTCCCACTGTGAAGCATGGAGGAGGAGGTGTGATGGTGTGGGGGTGTTTTGCTGGTGACACTGTTGGGGATTTATTCAAAAGTGAAGGCACACTGAACCAGCATGGCTACCACAGCATCCTGCAGCGACATGCCATCCCATCAGGTTTGCGTTTAGTTGGACGATCATTTATTTTTCAACAGGACAATGACCCCAAACACACCTCCAGGCTGTGTAAGGGCTATTTGACCAAGAAGAAGAGTGATGGAGTGCTGCGGCAGATGACCTGGCCTCCACAGTCACCGGACCTGAACCCAATCGAGATGGTTTGGGGTGAGCTGGACCGCAGAGTGAAGGCAAAGGGGCCAACAAGTGCTAAACACCTCTGGGAACTCCTTCAAGACTGTTGGAAAACCATTTCAGGTGACTACCTCTTGAAGCTCATAGAGAGAATGCCAAGAGTGTGCAAAGCAGTAATCAGAGCAAAGGGTGGCTATTTTGAAGAAACTAGAATATAAAACATGTTTTCAGTTATTACACCTTTTTTTGTTAAGTACATAACTCCACATGTGTTCATTCATAGTTTTGATGCCTTCAGTGAGAATCTACAATGTAAATAGTCATGAAAATAAAGAAAACGCATTGAATGAGAAGGTGTGTCCAAACTTTTGGCCTGTACTGTATGTACAAATGTATTGTATTTGTGGTTTGCAGAAACGTACAATGCCAACATTTTCCTCTGGTGACTGGGCTGCTAGTACACATTGTTGACCCTGAAACTAATTGCTTAATTTAAGTAAGTAAGCATAAATAAAAATAAGGAGCTCACGGGTCATGAATTCAGTGGAGCTCTCGGCTCCTCTCCTGCCGTCGATCTCTCCGGTGATGCTGGCGGTGTAATCCTGACCAGCTGCTAGGCCCGTCTGGGTGAAGGTGGTCAGGCTGCCCTCCACCTGCACATTGATCTGCTGGTCACTCTCCTTCTGTTTGGGCAGAATGATGACAGTGAGAGTTAATAAAAAATCAGCATGAATCACTTTTTAAAGTCCACCAGCAAAACACTGATATACTGATGGATCTGTCCAACCTCTTGACCACTCTGGCAGGTTTCCTTCATATTTCCATACATGCAGACTTTGCAAGACATTGACTGAGATGTGATAGTGCACAGCAGCTTAATGAGACCACCACTGCAAAAACATCAGGGATGGAATATTCCTTATTTGGATCCTCATTAGCTTCCACAAAGTGATCACTTATCTTTCTCTTCACAACATAAAAAAACAATTTCAGATCACACATTATCAATAAAACAAAGAAAGGCAGAACAAGCCAAATACAAACATCAGGCATTACGTCTGCTGATGACTTCAGCTAGGGCACCAAGACCGCAATGACCAGAGGCAACACCACAATTACTGACCATGTGGTTCCTGAGCCTGGCATCAACCTCATCTCAGCCTTCAAGCAGTGGCATAATTGGGCCAACAGTAAGCCTTAAGACTTTAAAGTATCTGGAATTAATCCTTTAATGGCTCAAACAGACTGAAATATTAACTAAATTTGAGGTTGTAGATAGCAGAACTGCGTACTGTACTGTATATTGCTTACTATTCAGCACACCCTAACAATACACATATTTAGCAATAAACATTAGTAGCAAAGGAAACAAAGACAAGTACCCATAGAATCATCACAATTCATTCTTCAAATCAATAAAACAGTGGTTACTGGACAATCAAACATGTTGTCATGATCTGAATTACCTAATTTTCTTACTGCATGTTGGGGCTTATGTGCTTTTGTATAATACGTTTTCCTTAATGTGCTTTGGTTTTATGGTTATGTCACTGTCTTGCTAATTGTGCTTGTGTGCTGTTGTCCTTGGTTATGTGCTTTGCTTTGTGCCTCTGTGTGTTTGTTTGATCTATGTTGTACTTTTGTATAGTACATTCTTAATGTCTTTGGTTACATGGTTATGTCATTGTATCATTGATAGTGCTTGTCTTGTTGTTTTTGCCTGTGTGCCTTGCTATGTGCTTTTGTCTATAGTTATATGCTTGTTCTTTGCTCATAGGGGCACTCTATGGACATGCCATCAATCTGCTTTTATCTGTGCTTGTGTTTCTGTGCTTTCGTATGTTATTTTAATGTCTTTTTCTTATATAGGCCTACAAATATACCATCAACCTGCCAGGTACTGCAGATGAAAATTAGCCTGAACCTGTCATGTCCAATAAAGGAAAAAGAATGAGAATAAATAAGAAAAATGAATGAATGAATGAATGAATGAAAATAAATTTTAAAAAAAATTAAAGATTTCCAAAACAGCATAAAATAAATAAACACAAAACCCAGAAATGTGAAGAATGCAGTAAAGTTACTTAGTTAAATAAATATTAAATACATTTTAAAGAATAATTTCTGTTTCTCTTCTAATGCATTTAAACTGTCAACTGCATTTGTTTAATACCTAATTTATTTATTTATATTTTAGATAAAGACATAAGCCATGCACAGTGTATAGTCTATATCTTTATATAAAAAATAAATTAAGAAAATACTGCAGTGACTACAGTACTGGGTAGTTTTTTTCCCCCCAAGCAGTATCTGCAAACCTGTATAATTTGTTGATACTGCAAGTCTTTACAAACATGACACAATTAGTCCAAAAATAAACAATAGTTATTTACATATATTATATTTGTGAATTGATTATATATAAAGTAGCTGAAATAATTTCTCTCTGAGCAGACAAGTTTATTAAATTAAGTAAAATCTTACGGATTAAACCAAATATATGGATTAAACTAAAAATTAATCTTTTTGTTATTAGTTTTAGCAGGTTTCACCCAAAATAAGAAGTTACAGAGAAGATATTAAATAGCCAAACAGTAAAATTATAAATTGTTTACAAACTATTTTATTTATGATTTGGACTGCAGCTGATATAATCTGACATGTCTTCCTTGTAACCTTTAATTTATTCGCCTCTCAGGATTTCCTGAGTCTTTCTGAGTTGAACACAGCGTCACATCTGATCCATCAGCACATGACAATGACCCAGTTTGAACAGTGAAACTGTTACTGAAGTGCTGCACAGTGGAGGACCAGCAGAGGCTGTGTCTTCTCTTGTTTCCTCCCTCACTGATAATTAATTCCATTCATAGTAATAATGACAAAAATCACAATGTTATCATCATCATTAAGGTTCATGAAGAGAGAGTGAGTGGAAACACTGTGCTGTCTGCAGGGCGCCTGTGTGTGTGTGTATGTGTGTGTGTGTGTGTGTGTGTGTGTGTGTGTGTGTGTGTGGCAGAGACACTCGCTCTGATGTGTTTTGACATTCTTGAGTTTCCAAAATCCGAGTGTACCGAAGCAGAACAGAAACAATCCTGAGGGAAAGTCCTTAAACTCCTCCTTTTGTTTCTTGTACTGCAATCAATGTTTTTTTTTATTTGTTTGTTTTTATGTGATTGAATGTTGACATTATAAATTCAGTGATTGCTGCACCCAGAAGGGGAATTTAAAATCCCATTTTCTAAAAATAAAAGTTCGGAAATCTACAAGATGATGCACTGTGCTGTGGTTAACAGTAAAGGGGCTCCTCAGACAGCAGTACAATGTGAGGAAACAATACAAAGGAGCATGCAAAGTACATTGACAATGAACACTATTAGCCACGTTAAAGCTGAGGTAGGCAGTTTTGTTATGGCAAATATCCCGTTATAAACGTTGGGCATATTGTCATTCAAGTGGACTGAAACGAGACTTCTGCACCTCCTTTTGGCTGCTTTCAGGCTTTAGAAAATCTCTGACAGGAGACTTTGACCAATCACAGGTAATTTCAGAGAGGGCGTTCCTATTGGCTGTTCTTCAAATGCAGATGTGTGTGAATGACCCTTCGGATGGTGAAAGTCTGATTCAAAGGCAGAGAATTCTGCAGAGAAAGATGTTATTCCAGCATTGGCAACTGCCTACTTTGCCTATTTATCAAAAAGAGAGTCTAAAGGAGAGTCTGACAATTAATGAAACAAAACATGTAACAATATCGGTAAGAGTTTCATAGATGGAGAGAAAACATTAATAGTATAGCCTTCTGCTAACTGGAGCTAAGGGCAAATGGCTGCAGTTTTAAGTTCACATTTATCTAGCTAAATGAATTATTGTGAGTCCTCTGCCTCACTCCCCACCGCTATGGGCGGGCAGCAGCTCTGAAGATGAATCCCCAGTCAGTGGCCACAGCAACCTGAATCCAGCCAACGCAAAGCCCAGCTGCATGTGGCCAGGCAGCCCCACCTACCCACCAAAGCAAACTTTCTGTTGCTGCTGTTGCAAAGGTTAGACCCAACCCTGCCACTAGCCACCAGCCCACTGTGACACCAAGCACTGGGGAGTTTGCACTGGTCAGTTTCAAGCATTAGTTCCACCCTGCACCCGTTGAAGTAGTAGTTGAAGTAGTAGTAGAGGTGGAGAGATCGCAGGGTGGCTAGCAGCTAATTCTTGTCTCATTTGTGGTTTGATAAACACAGAGAGAGAGAGCACGGCAAGAAAGGGCTGAGTAAATGACCTGGGTGCTACTGTACAATGAAAAAGGATTCACTCTCTGAAAATGTGGGTGGCTGCCTCCGTGTTTTTGGTCTTTGTCTTCACTTGTCTGCAGGAAAGAGTATGGCGCTCACTTCCTGTTTAAAAACTCTCACTATAATAGCTAAACACAGCACGTTTGATCAAATTTTATTCAGAGTTTGAGATAATCTGCTTCTATACTCTTTATATCCACAGTGCTGGCAGCATAGGTGGCGGGCAATGCGAAAATGTGCCAGAACAGCCTGTAGTTTGAGCAACAGCCCCGAGGGCCAGTGAAGCTCCGCCAAATGATGTAAAATATGTCATCCAGTTTCACTGTGGGGGGGGGGGGGGGGGGGGGGGGGGGGGATATCGAGACATTGGTTAGATGGAGGAAAGTTTAACACATTTCATCTATACTGCCCACATTGTTTTGATACAAAGCTAGGTGAAAATCGGTGAAGTATCCTTTTAAGGGATATGAAACATTTGAAAATACTCCAATAAATAACATCACAATAAATAAAAATGCTATTAAAACCATGTTTTTCCTATTATCTGATTGGGAAACAAAATAGTTCTTGTATCTCTGATTATGGCCATGTCATTACAGACTCTGTCGTGACTCTGTGTTCTTAGGTTTTCTCAATCCCATAATTTCAGTCAGCATCATTTCACGCTGCACAAAGCTCTTATTATTCAATTTATCTGTTGGAAAGCCTGAAACTTCCCATGAATTAAAAGGCTTACTCACCAGTTACTCAACTGGGAGCACTGGGCTGGCGTTTCTAATGAATGGATACCGTGTTGTAAAGTAAATGGACCACAGCTGGTTGCCATGCTGATTGCTTTGTTGGCTGCCTGGTGATGGAGGTCATCCTGGATCAGCGTCCTTGTGTCAGAAAAACGCTTTCATCCATTTCCATATGAATGAGGGTGACATCATTAAAACTGAGGCTCCAATAAATTCATGATACACTTTAAAACAAGTCGAGGCTCTGTGGCGTCTCCGCGGGACATTCAGGGATTGTGATTCTGTCTGGACACGAGGAGGTCTAACTGGGCCACTGCGTGACTTTCACTCTGCATGTTTATGATTGTTCTCCTGCTGCAAAATAAATCTCTAAAGGTTTTTCTCTGTTTGGTTCCATTTATTTGAACATTTTGATCATGTGTGAAAGCAGATATAAAACCAACCACAATGTTAAAATAAATATAGGCTGTATAAACATGTCAATTTATTAACATATTCTGTTAAATATTATACTTTATTTATATTAAACTATACTAAACTGTATTAGGCATACCATATTATGTCCATACTAAACTATTTTTTGGTACTTCATTTGTATTCAAGTGGCAACAACAGTGGCTGAAAAATGAAGCTAATGTGGAAGTGCCAAAAACTGCAGTT